TAATCTCCTACTTTTTTGAAACACTAATTTTGTTCTGTTGAAGAAGTTCGAACTTTCCTGGGAAAAATGATGCACCAGCTGTAGCCATTGTTCAAGTAGTCCGTACGATTATTGTCCGTACCTTTCACAAAAGGTTACTGGCTAATGGACACGAATCCAACGCGGGATTGAATATTCATATTCATGAATGATGATTCCCACTAGCACTAGCCAGGTAATACTAATACTCCCATTAAGTTATTATTATTATTTAAAAGATGATCATCTCAATTGGAAAGGACCAACCTACCTCAAACCAACGACACTTTCTATATGGGATAGAGTGCTTTATGAATCAGGACATATTCAATATTTCGATGCAAATTCATATGTTTACTAATACATGAGTCTTAGGGAATATTATTATAGAAGAGAGGTAACCAATATAAAAATGAGACTAAGATTTAGAGGATTAGGCGAGCATCCCTACACAAAAAGGTTCAATCGTCGGACTAACCAACTAGCCTACCTCCTTCCACATAGAGATTAGAGGGAACCTTACCCATGAATTCCCCAAGTAGCCTACCATCATTGACTATCTCATTCTCAATTTTAATTTCTCTTTCTAAATTCCCCGATTCATAATTTTTTAATTAATATTTGAAATTCAGAGTTTATATGATGGGAAAGGGACAGATGACATATACCTACCAACAACCAAATTACTTGGTATATTATCCAGTCCGTGCCACGGAAAGCATCAGCCGTACATTAATCTGACTTTTGCGCAGACTCTCGTCTCTTTCTTTTGCCTTTTACTTTGATTTACGCGTTTTACTATTTTGGGCCCACTGACGTGTCATCCTACTCAATTGATGCACCGTCAATCGTCTAATACTCCCCACTGCATTCCAAAATCTCTCTTCTTTTTTTCTATGTTGATGACTAAAATAAAATTACAAGGAGGGAGGATGCTAGATGCCTATTGCCAGAAGCTTCATTAATGCAAAGCAATGTGAACGAGTGAAATTTGAGTATGTTTTGTCCTTTCTTTTCATGCCATAAACTTCATTAATGCAAAACAATATATACTATTATGTAGATCATGTACAACATTAAACTTTCATTTAGTTGATTATTGTAATCGGTGTTAGGTTTGAAGCTCATCCTCTTTTCTTTTCTTTTTATCAATACAGCTTACCTCGTACCGTTGAAGTTCTCTCTTAAAAAACAAAATTCTTCAAACTTCTTTGTGGTATGCAAGTTATAATAGACATCATCATGTCCATTTTTTGGTTAAAAGGGAAAGATGTTTTACTGAGATGGTGTGGGTAGGTTTGCATTTTCGTACCGAAAGATATCAAATGAGTTTGACAAAATGTGTAGTCAAGATTAATTAGCATGTCTATTTTAGGTGAATACAATATATTATAAATTGAAAATCAGAACCAGAATGATTGTTGGTATGAAACAATCACTTGGTGAAGCACAACAACACTACGAAAATGCAATAGTGCTAAAAACATATCGGTAACATACCACTTATCATATTTCATGGTAAGCATTGCTTACCAAAATTATAAAAAAAACATATCAAATTCAGATGCTGAGATTTATTGACTTAATGACACAAACAATTATTAATTAGTATTTTTTATCGGGAGTTGAAAATCAGCACTCTTTTTAGTCGGTACCACTAACCATACTGGGGAAAGAAAAAGTCTGCCTATCAGATGTTTTATCAAAACATAATGATAAAAGCAACAACAGATACATTCCCACTCATCCACTCTTAAGCATCATATGTTGCTGCAAGTCAAAGACCAACAAGGATTGGCGTTGCTCAATTAATCATATCTACCGTGAGCAGAATGCTGCTGCTGATGCTTTGTCTGCTAGGAGCATCGATTTTGGTCCTGGGATTCATCTCTTTGAGACGGCTCCTGACTTCCTGAAGGATATTTTGTATGCTGATGCCATGGGTGTGTCCAGGCATCGTTTTGTTGCTGCTTAGGTGTTGCTTTGCTGGGCTTTTAGCCCCCCCATGTTACCAAAAAAAAGAAAAAGCAACAACAGATACATTGCATATCTTTCTTTCCAACTCCACCAACACTTTCAAACGCAAACTGCCAAAAAAATTAGTGAAGAAAACCATCTTAATTATTATTTTTAATTACTAAAGCATCCGTACCCTAGAAGCAACATGATTTGTTCTTGTTTTTGTCTTTGTTACTCTAAATTAAATGGAGTATAAATTAATAAATTAGCCCATTAGCCCATTGCAATGCAAAATGTGCGCGGGCCATGAACTTTGGTCGATCAGTGTCCTCAAATAAATTGATGAGGTTGTGGGGTGCATAGGTCCAGGAGGATGGGATATGATAGGACAGCAACATTTGGGTCACAAAGTCTAAAAGCTGCAATTAGAGGACAAATTTACATCATAAGTGGAGAGTCCACTAATAAAACATATCCTGCCTTTTGGGTGCTTTTTCCACAGAGAAATAGTGTGTTCCCTTGTCTCTTTCTGCACCAAATTTTTATTATATGTTTGTTTGTCCCTTGGAACTTTCTTTACTTATTTAATGAAACAGTGAAGATCCACATTTCCCGAGCCCAGGTTCGGCATGAGGCCAATTGGGGTCAAAAGGGTTTTTTGGGCTGGCCCTGAAAGAGTGAAATTTGGCTTCGGCCTGACCAGCAATTGGACAAGGCTAAATTCGGCCCAATTGTAGATGAATAATATATGTATCTGGCTTTCTTTTAAAAAATACAAGCGATAGTCTCACATACACACTGGTTTACAAGTCAAAACCATTTTTCATTGAACTAGACTTCATTAGCCTTACAGTTGTTCCGAAAGATTACTCAAGATGACGAGTGGTGTGAATTGGGACAAATGGCAGTGTAGAAGTGGTAGAAGACGACCCGTTTTGAGGGGTATCTCAATCAATCTGACCCTTCATGGACCACGCCATACCCTATCACCCTTCATGGCCTGTCGTTTCTCCATATAGCTTGAAAGCTTGAAGTGAACTGAACTGGTCTTGATTCAGATTATAATGGGCAAAAAAAAAAATTGTTGTTCTTGATTAGGTTACAATGGAGAGGCAAATAAATGGTACCAACTACCAGCCAAATTTCTGTTGTTTCATTCACCTTATACAAGTTGCCTTTCATGAGAAGGTCTGCAATCTTTTTGTTTTTCCCTGATACGGGGAAGGGATAATTGAATCTATGACTTATGGTGCATAGGTAAATGTTCTTAATCACTTGAGCTACAAACCTTTGCTTTAGTTCAATTTCTAAAGTTCAAGTTTTGGGGCAGATAGCGTTTGATGGGTTGGATATGGGCAAGCATTTCAGTAGAGTAGATAGCAGTTTGGGGCATCATTTTTCTGCTCTCATTTATTTACTGCAGATAGGAAGCAGCCAATCTACGGCTTCTGAGCTAAATGTTCAGATCACAGAGAATCTGGAAAATTATATAAGCAAATTTATCTAAAACCTAAATACTAGCAAATGACAAGTGATGTGACATGTTTATACAATGAGCCTCTTATCTTTACTTGTTAAGCGACCCACATTTGTGAGATAATTATTATATATAAGGCTAGATTAAAAGATTTTCTCATAAATATGTCTAATAAAAGCAAAACAACAATAGAAATACATATGAAACAATTTGGTTTTAAAAGTTGACCAAACACATATTTGAAGGTTATATAAAAAGAAAAAACAAGACTTTGTTTTTTAAATAAAAGCGATAGTCTAGATTAGAAATATGAAGAATTTCTCACACATACAACTATAATGTTGTGGGGATTTAAATCATGTTAACAGGAAAAAGAAGAAGAAGAAAAACAACTTATACTTGGGAAAACTAATGTCTTCAATTTCACCAGATTAATTAGTTGGAGTTCTCAATTGGACCGTGCGATATGTCCTCATTAAATGGGAAAGATAGAGAATAAAAAGGAAAAACAAAGAGGAAAATGAGTGCTGACCTTGAATTGACATTTTACCACGTGACCATTTGACAAGTGGATGTGGAAGTATTGGTAGCTTCCACGCCCCATTCTAAATTACCTTTTTTGTGTGTACATACGACTCCAACGCCCAGTCTTTGGCCACCTAATCCCTTCTCTCTCTCTCTCTCTCTCTCTCTTGACAATATGCATTTAGTGACACTCAATGTTGCAATCATATATGAAGGCAAGCCAAGCCAATCCACGCGCGCACAACTAACAAAATCAGCAGAGCAAAGCAGGCACTGCATATGACTCAGTCTGTATGAACTGTCTGGTAGACCGACCGGTCAAAACCACCCATCTTCTCCAAAATCTCATGCTCTCTCTCTCTCTCTCTCTCTCTAGAATTCACTTCTACCCCCTCCCCATCAACCAAAGCCAACGACCCTTCATTTCTTTACAATTTTTTAACATAATCAACATCATCATCTTACAACTGATACAAAAGCCAGAGCCAATTAGTATAGAAAGAAAGATAGCTAGAAAGGTGGCATTTCTTGGGCAACTAACGTATCTTCCTCAAAATCATCATCTACCTTTTCCATCTTCTTAACTGCTCTCTTTCTCTCTCACCTGCAAGTCTGCTTTCATATTCTATCTATCTCTCCTCCACCTTAAAGTCCCTCTAACTTTCTCTTCCCCCTTTCTGTATGTACTCACTCATCTGTCACTTGGGGGATATCAAACACCAAAGTGTTTGATCATTAGCTAGCCTCCCATATCCTCCTCCTCCTTTCTGCCTCCTGCCTTTTCACTTACCTCTCAAACCCCCAAACAAAACAATCTTGTTCTTTCTTTCCCTCTTCCTTATTTTTTAACTCACCATTTTGACATTCTTTCATTGAAAGGGTAAGAGTTAGGAAAAAGGGTAGTTAGCTAATTCTGTTCAAGTCTCCCTTTCTCTCTAACTGTCTGTATCTAGCTAGCTCTCTTCTAATTAAGCAAATTAAGAGCAATAAGCTAGGTAGGGAAGAGAACGTCTGGTGGCCGATGGCTGCACCGCCAAGTAGCAGCAGGCTCCGCAGCATGTTGCAGGCGTCAGTCCAATCTGTCCAATGGACTTACAGTCTCTTCTGGCAAATCTGTCCGCAACAAGGGTACTTCTACCTACCCCCACCCTCCCTTATCCTTACCTACAGTTTCATTTCATTTCTATTCATTCTTCAACAACATTACTTAATTATAATCCATGATGATGTCGATGATGATGATGATGATGTATCAGGATCTTAGTATGGTCAGATGGGTACTACAATGGAGCCATCAAGACGAGGAAGACGGTGCAACCCATGGAAGTCAGTGCAGAAGAGGCCTCTCTTCAGCGGAGCCAGCAGCTTAGAGAGCTGTACGACTCATTGTCTGCCGGAGAAACTAACCAGCCCCCGGCACGCCGCCCTTGCGCCTCCTTATCCCCCGAGGACTTAACCGAATCCGAATGGTTCTACTTGATGTGTGTCTCCTTCTCTTTCCCCCCTGGGGTGGGGTAAGAATATTCTTAGCTTCCACAGATTTCCATGTTCTTCATTGCCTCCTCTTCAATTTTATTAATTCAATGTCAAATATTGCTTTTTGTGGTGTAAGTTCAGTGCAAACTCAGCAACTAATACTAGAAAAAAACAAACATATTTATGGTTTGTTTTACAGTAGTGATTTATTTCGCATACATAACAAGTAAAATTCAGTTAAAATGTTTCCTTAATTTACAAGATATGATGAAAAAGAAAACCCCATCAATGCTATTAACACACATGTATATACATATAATTAGTATTGTTTATATATACATAATTTAACACTTTTCCCCGATAATATATATGTACATTGATATATATTCGGATACTATACATACACACATACATACATACATGTTGATCATCAGTACTACTTGTAAGAACACATACATATATCTAAAAACTTCGATTCGATCATCAAAAAGGGGCTCAGTTTCCAGTACTGTATGTATTTTAGTTGAAACATTCAGTATTTGGCATCTATAGGTCTATGTGTAGCAACTCCCATCTAACATCTCAACCTTACATTTATGATATCGACAAATACTCTTAAATCGCTTTCTGTATTTAGAATAAAGGGGACCTCTATACTTCTATGTATAGATGCTTGGGGACCCTCTGCATCTCTCAAGTCTAATTTCCAGTGAGAGAAGGAGGGGGCGGTGGTTCGTGTGGTAAATGTTGGTTTGCCTAAGTGTCGGGAACTGTATTTTCCCAAAGATGGAAAATAACTAGTGACACGTGTAAGCCTGTGGTGAGTTGCTAAGAATGCATCTTTGCACCTCGCTGGAAGCAGCATCACTTCCAATACATTTGAGCCGAGCCACTGACAATAACAAGACCCTCCAGAGTCGTCAGTCTACACCTTAGTTTTGATGCTTGTTTGTTTCATTGTTTTTTTGTCTCTTTGTGTTCATTTTGCTAATTAATCAGACTTTAATTTCTTGATGTTGTTATTGTTTGCTTGTTTTGTTAGTTAATTGTGTGATTAATTAAAGCACTGATGGTGTTATTTTTCTAGCATTGATCAACTTTAAGATTGGAAACTACTTAATTTAGAGACTGTTGGGGGAATATATTCTGGGACTTTTTGTCAAACAGACTTGCAAGTATATGCATAGATGAAGCAATATTAATTATATAAAATTGAATATGACGTTGAAACATGTGGCGCTCACTAAATTCTTCACCTGCTTCCATGAAATCGAAGCTACTTGTTATGTATAAGAGACAAGCAAATGTGTTCATCAATGCCAGGCAGCTAAAGAGGAGCTGTTTTCTATAATTTCCTCTCTCTCTCTCTCTCTCTCTCTCTGAGTGAGGGTAGGTTAATAATTTATCTGGCCCGTACTCTTATGCACCTCCTTAAGCACTTTTTCAAAAAGATGAAATTATTTCAAGGTATAAATAATTACTGCGAACTACCTAGAGGGCATGCCTTTCGGCTCACACCACATGCAATATACTGAGCTTAATTGCTTGGACATGTTTGTATTTTTACCATATAGCATCCATTACAATATATCAAATATGTGTACATTTCTTCGTTTTGGTCATAATTTGGGTGTATCGTTGCAGTTGGATTACATATATATTCCGAAACAAAACTACTAGCAACGAGCAACCCACAATATCTCTGAAAACTTTTTACTTCATATATGTACACATATTACATGATTAGATATGTATAATTATCTAATTAATTAGTTAATTAAGAAGTGAGATGTGTACGTACGTAGGTTGCCAGGAAAAGCATATGTGAGGAGGCAGCATGTATGGCTCACCGGTGCAAACGAAGTCGATAGCAAAACCTTTTCCAGAGCTATCTTAGCCAAGGTACTCTCTCTCTCTCTCTCTCTCTCTCTCTCTCTCTCTCTCAATGCACCTTTAATACAAAAACTCAAATTATTACAAACAGTACCTGAAATTTAAGTTGAACTAGCCGGCCTCAAATCAAACCCTAGCTAGGGTTAATTGCATTCCCTATAATTTTTTTTCCCTTTATTTACGAGTTTGGTAACTAACTTCTACTTTTTATTTTGGTGTTTTTTTTGCATGCATCTCCAGAGTGCTCGTATACAGGTATATATTTCTAGCCAACCCATTAATTCGATTCTAATTCTTATTATAATTATTTCTCTTAGCTAACAAATATCCATGACCCTTGAAAATAATGCAGACGGTGGTTTGCATTCCTCTACTAGACGGCGTCGTCGAACTAGGCACCACAGAGAGGGTAACACTTTTAATTATTTCCTTAAATATGGTTAATTAATATGCTAATTAATTAAATAAAATGGTGCTTAATTATTGCTACACAATGTATAATTGTACGTATGTAGGTTCCAGAAGACAATGCCTTGGTCCAACATGTCACAACCTTCTTCGTTGACCACAACCACCCTCCTCCCCCAAAACCCGCCCTCTCCGAGCACTCAACCTCCAACCCCGCCACGTCATCCGACCACCCACATTTCCACTCTCCGCACCTCCCAGCCATGTGCACCGACCCGCCTCTAGACGCCGCCCAAGAAGACGAAGAAGAGGACGAGGAAGAGGAGGATCAAGAAGAGGACGAGGAAGCAGAGTCAGACTCCGAAGCCGAAACGGGCCGCAACGGTCAGCCCGTTGCTCCCGGTCCAAACCCTCCAGCGGTTTCGGCCCCCGCAGCAGAGCCGAGCGAGCTCATGCAGCTAGAGATGTCCGAGGACATCCGGCTCGGCTCTCCGGACGACGCGTCCAACAATTTAGACTCGGATTTCCACTTACTAGCAGTGAGCCAGTCTAGGGTTAACCCAGCCGATCAGCAGCGCCAAGCTGACTCGTATCGAGCCGAGTCCACTCGCCGGTGGCCGTCAGTACAAGAGCCACTAAGCAGCGGGCTCCAACCGCCACCCCAAGGTACGCAATACAAAACAACTAGATACTCCTTTTTTTTTTCTTTTCCCCTTTCTAAAATATGAAACGTAAAAATTAAAAATTATAATATGGTTTCGTACATGGCCAATGGCCTTTTTATTTATGCACCGTCAATGTACCATACAAATTTAAAGCCCCCAAACTCTTTTTAGTTGACATATCTTATCTACATTATTCTTTTCTTCAAATAAACTAGGCAGAATATTTTTTGCTTATATTTTTGTCTCGGTGCAACACAGCCTTATTTTTTAAATATTATTTTCTCGCTGCTCCTCGAGTCTAAAAGACTGAAAAAACTTACATGTAATGGAAATAACACTGTTTTGTTATGTCTAGACAATAACACAATGTCATATAGAAAAAATATCTTATTTGTCATTGTGTTATTGGGCGGGAATATCCAAAAGTGATATTCCCGTTACATGAGAGTGTCGACGACTTAGGAAAAGTCAATATCTAATGTTTGGGTCCCACTTTGCCCGTAAGAAAAAAGTCAAAACCTCCCGTCTTCAACGCGCCAATGCTTTCCGTGTACACGCAAACCCAAACACCAATGAGATTCTTGGGATTGTACAATTTGGTTTGGAAAAAGACAAAAATTTAAAAGTACAAGAGCAGCGTGATTTTCGCAGGCACGTGAGAAATCTGGGCAACTTGGTTTTGTTTTTCATTTCATCTTTGGATGCTATGCTACCAAAATTTCAACGCCTTCTTGTAGAACTTCAATGCTATATTGTTGAAGTAAGTGCTTCAAGCTTTTAACCTAACCTAATCATAATATAATCCGCGTCATTAGTATTATCTTGACAAATTACGATAACCTTATTTGGTGGTGCAGGACCCCTGGCATTGGAGGAATTGACGCATGATGACACTCACTATTCTGAAACAGTCTCCACCATACTTCAAAGGCAGGCAACTAGGTGGACGGATTCCTCGTCCACCGATCACGTCGCCTACTCAACCCAATCAGCATTCGCCAAGTGGACGACTCGCGTCGAACACCACATGCTGGTGCCAATTGAGGGCACGTCCCAATGGCTCCTCAAATACATCTTGTTCAGCGTTCCTTTCCTCCACACAAAATACCGCGACGAGAACTCGCCAAAATCTCACGAGGGCGATGCCTCCACTCGGTTGAGGAAAGGGACCCCACAAGATGAGCTCAGCGCCAATCATGTCATGGCGGAACGGCGTCGTCGCGAGAAGCTTAATGAGAGGTTCATTATACTAAGGTCGCTAGTGCCCTTTGTGACAAAAATGGACAAGGCCTCGATACTAGGGGACACGATCGAGTACGTGAAGCAATTGCGTAAGAAGATTCAGGATCTTGAGGCACGTAACGTCCAGATGGAGGATGATCAACGGTCAAGATCATCCGGGGAAATACACAGGTCAAATAGTATGAAAGAGTTGCGGAGCGGGCTCACGGTAGTGGAGCGGACCCGGGTTGGTCCACCCGGTTCGGATAAAAGGAAGTTAAGGATTGTGGAGGGAAGTGGTGGTGCGGCCGTCGCCAAGCCTAAAACGATGGAGGAGTCACCACCTCCTCCACCGCCACCGCTACCACCACCACAACCATCACCGACACCTATGGTGACGGGTAACTCTCTAGAGGTGTCGATAATCGAGAGTGACGGGTTGTTGGAGCTCCAATGCCCGTATAGAGAAGGGTTGTTGCTTGATATCATGCAAACTCTAAGAGAGCTAAGAATTGAGACCACAGTTGTCCAGTCCTCATTGAATAATGGGTTCTTCGTAGCTGAGCTGAGGGCCAAGGTACATATATTTATACTCTTGATCATGCAATATTAATAGTAACATTTAATTTATTTTTCATTCAGTTTTATTTTTATTTTTACATAATAAATTTAATTTTTCAGGTGAAGGAGAATGTGAATGGCAAGAAAATAAGCATTACGGAAGTGAAGAGGGTAATAAATCAAATAATTCCCCAATCTGATTCCTAGTATCTTTTTAGTGCGTACGTAATTAATGAATTTTGAGGGGAAAATCAAATTATTTGCAAGTAGCTCTAGCGGCATCAGTACTGTACAATATTTAGAACACTTTTTTTTTCTTCTTCTAATGGGTGTTTATTATTTATTCCCCTCTGTAATCTAACAAATGTAATATTTCTGTGACATTCAAGATAATCTTAAACAAGAACTCCAAAACCAGTTTAGTTTTGATGTTTTGCTGCGGACCACAGTATTTGTCAAGTTTGATCAAAGCTCTTTCCAATCACATTGATCATCAAATTATGATTATCCTATTAATTTTGTAAGTTCCATCACATATTCATTTAAAATGGACCTTCATAAATATTATGAATTTGACTATAGGGTACCAGCAGAATATATATCAATGTATTTCAGTATTTTGATCATGATCAAGACCAAGTTAATTAACACGCCATAAACTAATGTCACAATCCTTCATTCAGAAGGATGAATCTGTAGACAACTTGTATGGTCTAAAATCGAAATCATGGAAAAGAAGAACTTCAAATTCCATGGGAAACCAACCAGCTGGCTATAAAGAAATGAAGATAATTAGATAGAACTTTTCATAAACTCATCGTAAAACACATTCTTAGTCAAAACTGAGCGCAAGTAGCCAAGCCAGAGCCATAAATTACAACCAGGCAAAAAATGTACACGACTATGAATTTGTACAGAAAATCATGAAGTCAACTACGCAGCAGCCGTTAATGCCATTTCAGTTCCATCACCCGGAAAATTAAACTTCAATGATTTTGACCGTAAGGCTATGTCTTGCTCTGATAGTTTACTTCTCAGACCACTGACAACAAAATCCCCTGACTTGGCCAAACTCCTGGTTGTGTAGGGCTGTAGATCATGAACAAGCAACAGGACAGCCCACTAACCGCACTGAATTTCACTTTCATTCAGAGAATCCTTAACGCAACATTTCATCAGCGATGCTTTCGCCCATCTTCTCTAAGTCTTCTTGGGATAAAAGGGTTTTCCTACCACTTACGCTACCGGCCTTATCATATGGTTGAGCCATCTTCCTAAGGAACTGCATTCAGGATAAAGAAGATTGACATACTAGAATATAAAAATATGATTCCCACGAAATTCTACTAAACAGAAAAAGTTACGACAAGAAGAAATTTAGATTTGATCATCTTCATCAACACTAGATGATTAGGGTTTCAGTTAAAGAAGGAGAAAAGGACTTCATCACCCCCAATGAAGATGTGTTTCAATGTTTCATTTTCGATCCTTTTAAACTTCTTCTATTGGGTCCCAAAGCACAGTTCTCAAAGGAGGACAAAGATAATGATAAAACAGATATTGCATGACTTATAAGGCAAACCACAGAAAACAAGTTCTATTGTTAGCATACCACATATGGGTTTGATTGATAAGTATATTTCAGGCTAACCAATAACCATATCTAGATAGGAACGTGCGTTATCGGTACCAAGGACAAACCTCTCGTGCTATATGCAGAGCCATGTCTGTGCTCAAATTTAGGTGTGCATCACGTAAATGTGAGAGTATCCACCCAGGCAATTTGGATCTCTTGTCATGACGGCTATATCTGAAATTGAAATTAAGCACCCAAAATTAAAGCAGATAAAGATTAACTAGAAGCTCCACCAGAGAATCTAAGAATTTGGAACTCAATTAATAAAAAATGAACAAATGAGTACGAACCTTTTGTCAGCAAATATCATCATGCCATAGTCTGCTTTTGACCGGATGACTCGGCCTACACATTGAGCAGCTTGTCTCTGCACCAGTAAGTTCCCCATTAGAGAACTCAAAAAGATCAGAAACATATAAACTAAATGCCAAGCAAATAATTCTTAGATGATACAAAAGGCAATGCAATGATACCAAGGCATCAAAAGTCAAAAAATCTCCTTCCTTTATTTGAAAGGTATCCCGCAAGTATTCTAGCCGCGCCAGCAAAATCCTGCAAAACAATACTCTCAAGTGTCAAACCACAGACAACATAGCTTTATGAACTCGATTAACAAAGATAGCTCATATGTCATACCACAGAAAATTAGTTTCACAATCTCTTTTTCACTACATAAAACAAAAGAGATATCATTTGCACTCACTTGCTTAATGTGTACTGAAACGGAATACCAAACATGATCACCAATCGTCCATAATGTCGATCAAAGTCTATCCCTTCAGCTACTTTTCCCCTGTGAAAGTAAAGATATAATTTAGCTTCATTATAGAGAACTATGTGGAACATCGATTGTAATATTGAAATGATAGGATCTGAATTACATGTGGCATGGAATTATGAATGGATTTTTAGATGACTGTATAAATGAATAGCAAAAGATACTCCATCATTTTTAGTTTAATTGCAATTTCCATTAGGAGATCAACAATAAGAAATAAGAAACTTTGAACGTTTTTAAGGACTGATACAGTACCTGGCAACAGACAAAAAGACAGCACCTCTCCCACAATCACAAGCCTTCCGGTAATTGTCAAGAGCCAAAGTAGTTTCTACGACATCTTGGGTCTCAATGAAAACAAGCTTATGCTGCATTATTTCCTGTGACAACGGGAGCACTAAGAAACTATCCACAAAACTAACTTCATGGCAAACTTGGAAAACAGGACAACAGAAAAAGTCATAGACACCCAACAAAAGTAATAGCCATTGATAGTGCAGTCACCTTTAAAATTCCATTTTCGTTCCAGCTATTGACTATTCCATCCATATAAGAGTAACTGACAAAGAAACATACAACCCCATCTGGGACAACAGAAACCATCTCCAGCAGCAGCCTCCCGTAGTTCCTTACTACGCCAAGATCACTTCTCATATCAAATTTGGTACTTACCGGAAGCTGATCACTGAAATATACCATAGGATACTGATTCAGAGTGACATTTAGATAACTAATGGGATTAATGTCTTATAAAACTATCATGATGCTAAATATAATAGAAACGTTATAATCTAATAAGAAAAGTTGTGATTAGTAAAGTTTACAACTTTCCCAATAAAATGAATCAGGAGAAAAGAAATATAAGAAGAAAAATATTTTGTCGATGTTATACCTTCCACGCGTGAGAACCATTGGGCAGATGCAGTCTCTTGTTAATGACATTGTAAAACTTCGACTGACGACAGGATGGAAATTGAGAAGACGGGGGTAGAGATCAATCGGGCTCAAGGTTCCAGATGTAATCACAACTGATTGAAATCGATCAAATACAGGTTTTATGGCAAGTGAAGCATCATGACAGCTAAGCTGGAATACCACGTATGAAAAGGCTAGATCAGAACTGAAAAATCTTCATTCCATCCACCAATGAAGCAGTATAAATACATCAAATAATGGCAGACAAACTCCTATAATACATATGCAAGGTAACCTATTGGAGGAAAATTTTATTCTACTTCTTTTGAAATTACCAAAAAAAACTCTGATATTGTAAAAGTCAAAAGGAAAACTAGGACCATAACCATAAAATCATTAGTATCATGAGAGTGGACACAGTTTACAAGAATTGTTCAGAAATGATTTTCAAACAAAGTATCCAGATAAGATGTGTAAGTGTGGAGACAGACCAAAATACAATTTTTAGAAATGGTTCAATTTTATAGAAAATGAAATTCGAAGATAAAAAACCACTAAAAACCAACCTGCAAAACAGGATCAGGAATATGTGGCATTCTCTCATCAAATGGTTCAATTATAATAGAGAAACCGCGAGTGTATGTCCCCACAAGTGTCGCGAAGTCACAGATTGTTTGGATGTGTAAGAACTCATCTGTGTCAGTAATTTCCAACGTCATCATGAGTGAGTGTAGGCGATCATAACAGAACTTCAGAGTTTTCTGGTCAATTCCAGCATGTGTACTAACAGAGGCAACAAAACCAACTGGGCCTTCCTTCTCAACATTCTCAGTCTCAAGACGCCCTTCCAAATACTGGACCAATCTTCGTAACACATGCACAAAATGGTCCGCTTTGCGAATATTTCCAGGCACAGCCTCCTTCAGAATATCTTCAGGTAGAGCGGGATTTTGAAGCCAAGTATCTGTGACTGCATATATAGAAAGAAAAAGTTATGAGAACTCAAGAAATCGTCAAACAAAAATTTTAAGTTTCAATGAAAGAAAAATCGTGGGAATGAGCAATCAGCATACGAGGTAGGTTTCCTCCTTGTGCCAAACCCTCAACAAGTCGGTTGTATTCTTTACGCAATCTATCCGCATCAGTGGCCTTGAACCTACCTACCATGTCAAGCAAACAAATGAAAATCTGTATCAAACGTGAAGGCAAGAATTGAAAGAAGCTGAAAACAAACGTATTTAGACATAATCTAGCCATTACTTTAAAAAAAAAAAATCATGATAGAATATAAAGAGGCAGATAAGTGGCCCAATGCGTAATTTACGAAGCTTCAGCCTTTAGAAAAAAGTAAGACTTTGAGCCTTAATTACAGCTCGAATCCATAACCAACCATTGCTGAATAGCAAAGCACCTACCTTTCAATTTCATGCTGCATCTTACTGAGATTCCTTCTGGCCCCTTCAAGTGTTTGCCTCCTCACACTAACACTAAGCGCTTCAATACACACATTATCAATATTGTGGGCCTCATCAAACACCACAACAGACTCCTTCTGCATTTCCTTGGAAATAATCCCAGCCACTTTAGGATCAAGCATATACTGATAACTGTAAACCACCACATTGGAGAACTGCACCATATGCCTTGCCAAGAAGTAGGGACACCACCCTCTCTGCTTCCCATACGCCCTCAAATCCTTTTTTTGACATAAAATAAAGCAACCCAATTGCAATTACTTGATTCCAAAACGAAAACAAAAAGAAAGATACAAAATTTCAGATCCCACAATTGAGTGATCAATGAGAAGAAGTGACTGGTACCTGCAAGGTATAAACCCCGGGAGGCAAAACCGCTCCAGACCCAGCTTTCTCATACTGCTCGAAAAACTCACAAGTAGGCACATTTGGGTTCTCAGCGGCCAGGGCTCTCACCCAGCTGGCAGTCAATTTCCGGCAGGCTGCGTCGACAGAGTCTCGATTTTCGGCGGCCAAGACAGTTGGGTTGACACAGAGGTTCTTCCGAGAGGAAAGCCCCACAGCCAAGATCTGTGCTTGGGGACCCAGATGCTTAACTTGGTAATTGTGGAGGACCTTGAGCTCAGCGAGAGTCTTCTCCATCTCGTGTACAGTGCGAGTGCAGTAGATGAGCTTGACTGGGTTTTGGGGCTTGGAGAGAGTGTAACTTGTGATGAGGGAGAGGAGGGCGATGGTCTTGCCCGTGCCTGTGGGCATCTCCAGGAGGCAGTGGCCCTTGGCGTCGAGGGCTCGCTTGAGCTCGAGCATGTATGCATATTGCTCTGGGTATATGTGGTCGTATGGGAAGTAGACTGTGACGTCTTCTACTTGAAACTTCATGGTTTTTTGAGGTTTTGGGTTTTGCTGTGTATCTTCTCTGTCTCTCCCCGAGACCAGAGGTTGGCGGTTTCACAATTAAAACGGCGAGACCTCACTCTTCTTCCATATCACGAAGACGGGAGCGATTCGGATTGGGCTTCAATCCATGTTTATAGCATAGGCATTTTCGGAGACAAGATGACAATTTGGGCCAAGTTTTGGGTTTAGCTCCTTGCTTTAGAGAAGGTCCAACAAAAACTACATGAAAAAATGTTAGTTTTTGCAACGATTTTAAATTATAAAAACACCCAAAATGGGGGCTTAAATTATAAAAAAATCCAAGCACTATTTAAATATATAAACACACCTAAAACCCATCATTACACACACTCAAAATTCATTTATAAACACACCCAAAAAGTTGACTTTGTGGTTGATTTTGGGTGTGTTTCTATGTTTAAATAGTGCTTGGGTTTTTCTATAAATACATGTCTATGATTGGGTTTATTTATAAATTTGTATTTAATTTAATGTTTAGCTTCTTTCTACATGTATAATCTATATATATATAAAGTAAAAGGCAGAGAATGGTGAAACATTCAAAATACCAGAAAATGCCCTTGGTTAATTCAAAAATTAAGAATTGAAATTATTAATTAAATAAGGATAATATGGTAAATTCACTTTTTTTTCCATATTAAAAAATTTAAAATTAAAAACAAAATCAGATAATAAGTCCTACTTTTATGGAATATAACTACCCATGTTATCTTTTCTTAATACTAAAAATAAAAGAAAAAAGAAAACCAATTGGCACATGCATGAGCATGTGCCAGGGGCTAGTTTATATTTAATAAGTATATTTGTGAGTGTTTTGTATCTTTTCCAATATTTTCGTTAAAATAACTTATTAAAATATAAAAATTATCTCCTTATATGAATGTTGCACATGACAATCATAGCCAGGGCATAATTGACTTTTACTGCTTGACTTGTGTTGTCAAGTGACCATCTTTCAACTTTTCATTGTCACTCTCACATGTTTGAAAGAGAGACTGATAATAGGTGAGCACAACCCCTCTTCTGTTGGATTGGATCTGATCGGTGAATGAAAAAAGTTGTTCCGTTGACCCAAAAAAAAAAATGTTGTTCCTTCTCTAAGAACATGAAATATTTTTCTTTCCAACTAGCACTTGGTTTTGGTCTAGTGATACTCCTCTTCTTAATTTTGAAACACCTTCCAAGTTCAAATCCCCATTTCCCCATTGATGCAAACATAATCGAACTATATAGCTAAATGAAAATCCGTAATCTTCGAAATCCATGAAATCTAATCGCAAGCCCTGAATAGAGATGAATGTTACAACAGTCAAACTATGATATAATCTCAAGAAGACATGAGAAATTATTGTATGCACAATGTTGGTCTATTCATTCCGCTTCAGTCGGTGTGTTAGATGCCAGGCCTTTGATTACATGCCGACATTGGAACCTGCAACCATCAAACAAACCAGATATGACCTATGCATAAGCCAAGCAACAGAACAAATACGAACGCATTGAAATGTATGCAATTGGGAAGCAACATACCATATAAAATCATTTGGAGCAGACTCAACCAACCCATCAGAACTGCCAGTTTCAGAAGAAACAGAAAGAGCATCCATGTTCTGATCTTGGGTTTTTCTCTTAATCTTTAGTCTTAAAGGCGCAATCTGCAATTGGTTTAAATAAATATGCATAAGCGAGTTGTATGGTAGTTGATGATTTAATATGAAATAATGAAACTGCATTGCCTGCTATTTTGGGCAAGAACATGTACCTTGTTGCTGTATCTGAAATCACGTTTGGGAAGAAAATGCAGAGGCAGATTGAGACAAGGGGGAGCTTTCACCAAGAGAAACAACTTGGAAGGCCCTGAATAAGAAGCACACCCAGCACCCTTTGAGATCAGCCCCCGAATCGCTTTTCTACAAAGCACTTCTGCCGCTCTGCTTTTGCCGAAATCAAGTTCCTTTTCATGTTCATGTTCACCACTGCTGCTAGGAACAGCGCTTGCGCTTGAAAAGCTCAACTCATAGACATGATGAGGCCGTAGCGGACTCGCTCCGATCACCAAAATGGCTTCTTGGAACTGAGGAACCTCGCTGATCATCAGCTTCAGCGCAGTTTGGAGATCAGAAACTTGACGCATCAGCTTCTGGAATCTTCGAATCCCGCGCTTGGCTTCCCTCATTTGGCCCGCGTGCTTTCTCCGAAGCGTTGGCTTCACCTCGTTCTGGTGAAGAGCCATTTCCTGAAACTCGCAGATTCTAAATTAGGGCAAAGAATTCAGAGCCGAAGAAGAAAGAGTTGATGAAATTGCAGTCTCGGAATCTCATACCGAATCCTTGTACTCAGAACAGAGCGAATCGAATTCCAGAGTAATATCCTGCAACAATCTGTAAAAATTGGATCAAATATTTCGTATGAGTGCGAAGAAATTGATTTGTTTGGGAACTCAGAAAGTTGGGGAAAACTTACGAAGGGATTTGCTGGTGCATGTAAAGCACGAAACCTGAGATTTCGTTAATGGCGTGGAAGATCACAGAGCCGTCCAGAGAGTCCGCCGCGATCTCCATCGCTGATCTCCGTCCACCACACGCCTCAAGGCTCGAACTATCTGAAATTCAAAATTTCAAACGAAACCGGGTTTTGTAGTACGGCCCAACTGGCCCAGAATGAGAGGAAGCGGGCCGGGTCGTGGAAAACCCAATTCCAGTACCGTGCACGTGGCAACTTCGGAAAATTTAACTAAATATTTTCCTTAACGAAAACAAAACATTAGTTGTTTTTTCTTTTGGCCCAAGTCGAAATATTGTTGTTAATTGATGTAAAAGCAAACACCCAGTGGCAAAAATAAATAAAACTACAATGTCTTAATACCCAAAGAGTATATTGGAGTTTGTTACACGTTTTGTGTTACAATTAAGTAGCATCTATATAGAATCTGTGTATCCTATCCTCGATACGAAAGCAGTGTGCTCTACAATGCATGAAACTCTGTCGTCAATGCTTTTCCGTTTGATACAGAAACCATGTGAGTGGCGAGCCTTCGCTACGTATTTGCCGAATGAAGTAGTATCATTAGCTGTTACTCTAAGCATCCAGGACCTCTCAAACCATATCGTGATGCCATAACCCTTTCTGGTTTCTGCTCAGGTGTTTCATCAGTCCAGGAATTCCAGCGCTACCAAAACGAAGAGAGAAAATTCTCGTTAGTGTCACCATCTATGCATAATTTATTTATCAGTTTTATAAGTGATGGAGCATCACCTCAAGACAAGAAGGCACAGCCGGTTTGCAAGTTATACACCATACCGGCTTAAGGCTTTACTTAAACTTGGCATTACATTATATGCTTGATATGATCTTCTAAGTTCGATTATAGAACCCACCTGCACAATTAATGGTCAGAACTACTTGCAAGAGTTGCATAAAATATAAAGCATTTCAGGAAATCATACTTCCTACGTTACTTACTATGATTAGGACTGACGTCAACCCAATTGCAAATCCTGCATTGATATTGCGTAAATAATGATCCAGTATGCTTGACGTTGTTGCCAAGATACTTAACAACAGCCCACCTGCAAAGTTTCCCCACAGGACAGCAAAAAGAAAGCAAACAAATTCAATGAGGGCCAATGGAATTACGTTAAACCAAATCAAGGGAGAATCATACCCCAAAAACGTGTTGATGCCTGAATCTTTGTAAGGTACTCAATTGTAGCCTTCCCAGGCTTTATGTTTGGTATCCTAGCACCCATCTTATTTAAGTAATCAGCAATTTCCTTGGGCAAGTTGGCCTGGACAGGCATTATTGATTTAAAACAGCAAACAATGAAACAGAGTATCTCTACCTCAACATCAAACAATACAGTAACTCTTTTGACCAAAAAGAAAACAATACAGTAACATGACATAATCTTAAGATACATTCAAAAACATTTCACAAGCTTCCGTACTCATTGCATTTGTCAACTGCAGCCGCATTATTGTCCCCAGAGGAGGTGACTGACTGGTGTGCAGTTATATCTTGAAAGTTCAAATCTAACTTAGCATTTACATGCTGGTGATTCTAGTATAACTTACTAAAAAATTTATATTAACATATAAATATACATATCTCATATTTAGTATGAGTTTTGAACCAAGATGGCAAAATTTATTAGCCATAATAGACAGCTCTATCTATCGCCAGACACTATAGCTTCATAATCAGACATATAAGCATCAGAAACTGAATGCCGTAAGTAGAGAAACATTGTGACAATAGAAATTTAAGGTATAGAAGGAGAGAAATGTCATCATAATAACTAAACGCTCTAAAACTATACAATTTACTAGCTCAGTTTTAAAATATTCTTTAATATATTGTATCCTGGAGCTTGATGAACGGAAAGCAATGTGATTCTAGAACAATTACATACAAGGTTAAGAAGAAACTTACAATGTCAAATATATTGAATAAGAAGACAAAAAACGCATATATTGAGTAGTACACCCAAGGCCCTGCACCAACGGAATTGTCAGGGTTCAATATCTCCTTAACATGCTCCCAGAAAGGCGAACCAAGAAGACTGCCAACAAACCACAATATCAGAAAGTTGTAATGGTAAACTTTAAAAAGGAAAAGAATAGGTGTAGTTCGAATACTTAAGGAAATTTTTTTGGGTCAGCAGAGAAATGAGCACTCTTTTGATTTCATTAAAGACAAGGACAATGAGTTTTCATCTTAAAAAATGCTGCAAGTTAAGAAATTGTGACCTTGCAAGAATACTCGGAAATGACAAGAGATACGTGGTGGTGAGAACAGGCTGCATTCCTGATGGGTTAATGGTAAAAGGGATATATGGCTCCACTTCAGTAATTGGCGAGTCATCTCTGTCCAAAACACATCAGACCAGAAAATAATGTCAGCCAACAGAATTATCCAAATATATATATTTTCAAAGCTCAAATTATAGAAGATGGTGTGAATTGTTTCTACTAGGCTGTTAGTTGATACAAATATCAGTTTATAAGCAATATCTGCTATACATCTAACATTAGTATAAAGAACAACCATCTTCATAATCAATAACACCACATGCATACAGAAAACGCATGCATTGTGCAGTTTCTTTCACTACAAACGATCATTGGCCATCAGAATGGTAACGAATGTATTACCTTGCAGAAGAAGCAAGCTTAAAACCATAGTACTGCAGCTTTATCTTCCTGCAACCTTCAGTTACCACAACTGCCCACATAGTGACTACAGTGAAAACGCCCAATACTGCAAGCAAGTACGGACCCCAACTAACAGAACCTCCTGCAATAAAAAGCATGAAACCTACCATCTGATGGGATAATAATTTTGCCCTAACATGGGGTATATTAATGGAATTCATTACATCACATACCTGAGAGCTGAGACAACATTTTGTATAGCGTCTCTGTGTAGCCAGTCAATATTTGCACACATATGATTAGAGATGAACCTTGACCTGAAATATGAATGACCAGTCAGAGAAGATAGAGAATATCTGCAATAAGATTAAAGAATGAACAAAGAATTTTCTTCTAAAGAGGAATAACCAGATCAGAATTGATACTATGATCTAAAAACCTCACATATGTACTAACATCACCATGACAAAGTAGCAAGTATTCCACAAGGACTCATATAATACTTACTATGGAGATAATGATGCACATGGTAGCCAAACCTCATCAACAGGTATAAATAATTATGTTAAAGAACATCATCTTATTATATTAATCCACAGGAAAAACATTATGGTCAGTAAACTTATTGAGTCAAAGCTCCTAGTTGTGGACCTTTCTTCGGCTACAAGGCATGGGATACATGTGAAATGATTATGCATTCATAAATTTCAATTATGTAAAAACATTAGTTAAATCAGGCATGCTAAACAGTAACCGAGCTTGACAGAGTGACTTGTGGTTATGAAAAGTAAACTTCTTTCACTGGAAAAACAAAATGAGACTTGGGGAATATTATCAAGATGATATTAATTCCAATCAAGTAACCAAAATATCAAGTATATAGTACCAAATCCAGATTCTGAGATGGTATCACAAATCCAAGTCATTGTCATCGCACCACAGACCAGTAACATACTTGTCACCATCACATGCTTGACCCTGCAAAATCTCAAAGTTACAAAGATACATTTGAAATCAAATTTATTGTTGAAAAGTATGATATAATTGCTGCATTACCTGTAGCTAGCCGCATAGATTGAATATGGAAGTGAGTAACAAGCCAGTATGATGGCCTCCACAATTGCAAAGCCAAGAGACATCCACCATCTTGAATAAACATAAAAGCTCATAAGGTTCACAATCTTGAGAGGAAAAAATGATCTAAAGTAAAAGTCACAATCAAATTGTGCAACAAGAACTTGGCTCACTGCTTGAGATGAATAACTAGACACACATATAACTCTTAATCTTCTCGTGACCATCTAAGCCTTCTTTCCGCAGCTTTACTAGGGAGGGAACAAGATGACAAAGTACCTATACATCAAATTTGAGATTCTCAATATATCATCATATTTTAATACATACCAAATTTTCTCTCAAGATTAAAATATTTAGACAAATATCATTTTAGTTAACATAAATACACATGAAATAGATGAAGAAAAGTAATAAACCTGCATAATAATCGATGCTATAATTTGAGGACTGATTCCAAGCTGGAAGAAGGACATTTTAAGCTCTGCTGCAAAATCGCCAAGTTCATCTGCCCAAAAACAACACGAATCACTATCCGAGAATTTTACACAAATGACCATATACATGGAGGAACAATGGTCAATTACTCACCAACAGATCCCGATACGAAGCTCAGGTAATCTTGAGGGATCAACCTTCTATCAAATCCAGGCAGAGGAATGAAATAACCGACACGACTGATCACTATTAGTACTGCCGTCACAAATAACCTCCGCCGAATCTCACTCTTGAAGAATGACTCAGCAGCACTGTTAAGGACTGAACTTAAGCGCACAAAATCCAGAAACCGATTTCTAAATGTTAGAGGCCTTGCTTGCTCGGCATTTGCTTTGTCAATGTCGTTTTGTTTGTAGATTTCTGTGCCATCTTCGGGACTTAGTGGAGTAACTTCAAGATTTAGAGACTCTGGAGGCGTAGCCTCGACGTTTGTATAATCATTTAGGAACTGGTTTGAGAACTTTGCAGAGACTCTCTTGTTTGCTTTGGACGGGAAGGGCCTGTTTGGCAACACGAAATTTCTTGTGCAAGATTGTATAGGGTTTGTCTTAAGGGAAACATGGCTGGTTCTAGCAAGGGGCAAACAACAAATTTGAATATCGCAACCTGAAATTGCACCTGCAAGTAATTGAACACGAAGCCCTATCAGAAGACGCAGAAACTTCATCTGAAGCTAGAACAATCACCCAATCAAAAATGAACAAGAAAACCCTTTCGATACATAGCTAGAAGAAGTTACTAGATTGAGTTACCAAAACACGAAACCTAATAATATTCCGAAGTTTTCATCATTTCTGTTATTTTCGTGCGTTTTCCCGGAAACCAACTGACCTCGAAATTTTGAGGGGTAGAGTTGGTGATGGAAGCGTTGCGAGCTGAGAAGAGTGGCTTCCATGGCGGGACTGGGAACAGTAGACAGCAGCGGGACTGTGCGGTTCTTTATGCTAGAAAAGGCTCATCTGTAAGGGTGGCAATCTTGTGCTTGATTGCTCATTTTGCGTCAATATGAAGCGCTTCCTTATTGGTGTATAGTAAGTCGGCGCGGGTCAATGCTCACGTGGTCAGCTGTAGTTGGGCAAATGTTTTAAAGGGTTTAGAATAGTGTTGCACAGAGATTTCTATTTAGAAATGTAGAATAATCCATAGAGCTTTGGTGCTGCTAAAAAATTTGATACTCAAAACCTAAAATCAAATCGATTAACTAATTTCAATCTCGAAACTTGAAGTTTAAGCTCTAACTGATGATTCTACACTCTAAACATAACATTGTGTACAAAGCCGGACTGGTGTAAATATTACTACAAGTTTATGTGTTTGTTTATAGATTCAATGAAACATAGACTAAATGGGCATTCAAATTTAGTACTTCTTTTAATATTCCAAGGAGAAGTATCATTAAATCATGAGTTAGTTAAAGGCATGACCTTTAGTATTCAAGTTGGTGTCCTATATAAGAGTATGTGTATTTATACATACAGGGCTCGTTTGGTACGTCAGACTGTATGGATTAATTTATGTCGGATAGTATTAAAATGTTCCGGAGAGTATTGACTATTTATCCATAATATTATAAGGCATTTGATGTTGTTCTTGATAAATAGTCAATAACATCATATCATACTATTTTTATATTGTGTTTGGTGTGTTTCGGATAACATCATATCAGACTATTTTTATTTAAATTTCTTCTATAATTTAATGAAAATTTAAAGGGAAATGGAGTAATTTAGTGGGAAGTTAAAAGGGCATTTAATTTACATATTATACACATAATTTTCACATATTATTGAATAAAAATTAATATATTACATTAAAAAAATTATATACTAATCGAACTTTTCAGTTGTAACTTGCCAAAATTGTTAATGATTACTAAATAATTTATTATGCAACTAAGTTTTACTAGTTTGTATAGTTGAAATAGCAAATTAATATCTATAAAGTATAAACTAATGCAACTAGGAAGTCCTTTTTTCTTAATGTTTTTATTTATTAAATAGTCTAGCCGCGATACTTATTTTGACATGTGGGCTCCTAATCAATAGGGTCCTCTATTTTTTTAAATATAAATAGTATAGCCGTGCGGCCATACGCCATTTTTTATTTTATTTTAAAAACAGTATAGCCGTCCGGCTATACTTCTTTCGACACGTAGGCGGCCTAACCGCAAGGCAAGTCCTATTTTTCAAATATAAATAGTATAGCCGGCCGCTGCTATACTGACACGTGGCGCCTAACCACTGCAGTCCTCTCCTTTTTTTAACACAAATAGTATCGCCGCACGGCTAGACTCGGTTTTTATTTTTTGTATAAATAGTATAGTCGTTCGGCTATACTCTGTTTTCCTTTTTAAAAAAAAAAAAAAAAAAAAAAAAAAAAAAAAAGTTGTATAGTCGTACTGGGATCCTATTTTGACACATGGGCGCCTAATCGATGGGGTGCTCTTTTCTTTTTTTTTTTTTTTTTTTTTTTTTTTTATAATATAGGCCGTACGGCTATACCCGGTTTTTTTCATTTTTATTTTTATAAGTATAGCCGCGCGGCTAAACTTAATTGGACACGTCGGCGACTATACTTATTTGGACACGTGGGCTCCTAACCGCCGGGGTCCTCTTCTTTTTTTAAAACAAATCATATAGCCGGGCGGCTATACTCGTTTTTTTTTTTTTTTTTTTTTTTTTTTTTTTTGGTTTGGGGATAGTATATAGCCCGTTTATTGTTGGATTTCCTACGACCACACTGGTTATCTACTCCTGAAATCGGACCTTGTAGAGTTGCGATATCAATTTAAAGTGTACACATTATACATATAAACCATTAAAATATCTATCAAAGCACTTGTACAAAACCGAACATCGAGCTGATATTATTTAAAGCTACATAACACGATCAAGATTATTTAAAGCACATCAATCATATAGCTAGGAGAGATTATCCTTTTATGACGAGTTTCTCTTGTATACATGTATAATTGTTCCACACATTTCCCCTAGTATGTCCATTCTTTGGGAAGAAATAACTCCGGGGAAGAACTTGGATTTTGAGAAATAATGTAGCATTGAGTCGATGGAACATCTTTATTTCCACTTTTATTATGATCCGAAATACAATCGCCACCTTTTCGTTTATGATCCTTAGCATCTGAAAGAAACCCTAGTTTCTTAGGAATAAATTCATTTATTAAAAATATACATAGTTCAAATTAAGTGAGAGCATGAAATTAACCTTGTCGAGGTGAAATTTGGAGGCCTAGGGTATGAACATTGAGGTTGAGAGCTTGAACCACACGGGAGGGCAGAAGAACAGGAGCACAAGCTGCATGCAAAAATTCATATGTAAGTATTTCAATAGAAAATTGAAAGCACATATATATAATATTTTAATCGGAGCAAACTTGCGAACCTGGTTTTTTAGTTTTGTGGGAGTTGGAGCCTGCCATTTGAGGAAGAAAAACGCCAGTGCCACATGATCTTTGGCTAGAAGAATCCAGGAAAATAGCTTGCATTCCAGGCCCTCCAGATGACCAATTGACATTGGCTTTTGGTCTATGATGTTTAGGTCTAATTGAGCTAGGTTTTGAATTCTGCAATTGGTGACAATGACACATTTTAGTCAAAGAAACACTAAGATAACTTAATTTGTTTTAAATTTTTATTTCAGTGTGTTTATTTTAAAGTCGACATTACTTAATCCCTAAGGCAGGTTTGGGAATTTTCGAAGAAAACATGGTAGCTACCCCCCCCACATCACACCTCTAAATTAATTACTTCCCCAAAACACTCCTCCAACTATATGTATATTTTTATTTTTCTTAAGAACCAAGTATGCTTTGAAGTGAATTAGTTGCAAAAATATCAGAATGGCAATTAAATGTATTGGGACGGCTTTATAACTAAATTCATCAATCATTTATTCAATAAGATTTCCATTACCAAAATGTAGAAGAAGAAAAACTCACACACACACACATACATATAGAGATTTTCTCTTATGCGATGTTATTAACGTGTGAACGCCATCTACACAGGTAATAACGTTTGGATGTACGCATAGGAGAATTTCTGTATATAAGTTATTATTCTCTCATCTGGATGTCTGCACATTATTATCGTGCGAATGCCATTGTAAACAGAGAGGCAAACAGATAGGGGTAGTAGAAAATAAATGGCATTCTCACAATAATAACGTTCGGACGTCAGCATCTGAGAATTTATGTGTGTATATATATATATATATAGCTTACAAATGAAGACAGCCATATTTTATTGTTTATGAGTGAATTAACCAAATTAAAGGTGTGCTTACTCTAGTCTCTATAGAGATGTTTTGATAAAGTCTTTTTGTTAATTTATTTTTCAACAACGAAAATGACCGATACCTTACTCTCCTGAAATGATTAGGTAGATCTACACCAATTATGTATAACCTAATCTTGGCTGTTGAGTAAGTATATGTAGTATCATGAGTAGGTTTGTAATTCTGATAAATTAAAAAGAGTAGGTTTGTAATTGGTCCTTTGACAAAAAATAAAAAATAAAAATCTATCTATTGATCCTATCTACTATTCCCCAAAACCATGTCAAAAGTGTCGCGGTAGTAAAAACCAGAATCTCCAAAATCCCAGCGTCAAAATTTCCATCTTCGTCTCCACCATTTTCACAGACATTGTTGCAGAACAAAAAAAACCACAAAAAGAAAAACAAAAGAGAGAAAGCACGTACCAAATGATGATGCTGGTGGTGCTGCACTCGAAGCCTTGAGTATGCCTTCAAATTAAGAAATCAAACACAAATAACACAAACTCAATAAATTTTGGAGTGAACCAAAACAAAAATATAAAGATGGAAGAATTTAGAATATGCATTTGTGTATATATCAACCTTTGTGTCACATATTGCTTCGTCTAGAACTTGTTGCGGCAGCCACAACATTCCTTCTTCAAAACCAACCTCTCCTTCCTTATCAGCCATGGAAAAATATACACAGAGACACAGATTGAGATTAGAGAGAGAGGATTTTATTTCACTTGAGAGAGAGAGAGAGAGAGAGAGAGAGAGAGGGTTGCGAGTTGTGATTGTGAGCTCCAACTTCTAACCTGCAACGCAACTAAATAGTCACTCTCTCTCTCAGAAACATAACCAAATTAAGAGAGAGAAAATCCTATAATTCATAGCCAAAGTCTCATGTGTGAGAAAACTAAATTAACTTCTCTCTCTCTCTCAAAACGCGTGTAAATATGTTTTCTTTTTAGATATTTCAGGAGACGTCGTCGTTTGGGGTCGCGTCTTTGCTAAATCCTCAACTGCGAGACTATGCGAGAGCAGTTCTTAACAAATTAAAATTTATTAATTGACCCTAGTTTACGACTAGAATTACGCACAAAACCAAGATGCGGTTTGCCGGGTTCTGTGCGGGTTGGATTTTCCTTAATGACCACTTTGACCTTCACCGGTAAAATACAATTTGTTTGATTTACGATGATTATTCCTATAATCCATGCATGATTGGAAATTTGAAAATTAAATACTTCAATTATCTTTTATAACTGTTCAAACTCCAACTATCTTCCATGTTTGTCACTTGCATATAAATTGGTATTTAACTTCAAATTAACCTCTGTGTTGACTGTTTTATTTATATCCAAATTCAAAATTATTTTCACTTTTACTCACTAATATCAAACTATATCTATCAAAAGTTACGTTTAAGGAAGTCAATGTCAACAAATTTTGAATTTATGAGCAAAAGTTTACCCGTTTCTTTGCACCTAAATTCGAGTTCATCTTCACGTAGATTGAATTAATTTAAAGTTATTTTCATATATCGGTTTAAATAAGTCAATGTCCACATAGTCAACCATCCAGCAAATCTTATGTTTCTTAATAAAAATCTATGACATAAAGCGCATTCCTTTGCACCCAAATTTGAGTTTCCCAGTAAATTAAACTATTGCTTGTATTTTTTTTTTTAAAAAAAAAATTAAAAAAAAAACTCTAAAATCAGGTATCCAGAATTAGAAATGCAGGAGGGGTAAAGGTCATTATACAAGGAAAATGGGTCTGACCCGTAGCCAAATATATCATAATTGGGTTCATGTAGTTTTCTGATAAAAAGATGGGCATTTACGTAATTTGGTGTGCATAGGTCTAAGTGGGACGCGGACGTGGACGTGGGTTGGGTTGGGTTAGGTTCGGTAAACCCCTCTTCCTATTTGGTCGTTGCAGTTATTCTTCACGTAACGTTCTGATGTTGGCTCCTTCCACCATAACCTGTTTTTGTTTCTTAAGGTTTTTTTTTCCCCTTAAATTTTGGTCATAATTTTTAACATACAAAATAAACCACACTCGAATTAAGTCTACCACTTTTCATACGTATGTATACAGTGCCTCTTCTTCTTAACTACCTTACCAACGCTACCATCAGTCCATCTGTTCAAAGTATGGTTTAGGAAAGTGGGTTCCACTTGTGACATACACAAGCAAATATATGAAGTTAGGTTTTGTATATATTATCTTATTTTTGTATGATAATTATTGGGAACCAAAGCTCTTGAGTATTTGTCATTTTGAAGACACATTAAATTAAAGTATAATTTGATTTAGCAGATGCGGGTTAGGTCAGTTGACCGGACAGTAAGTCTGTCCTCTTTATTTTACTTTTAGGTTATATTTATAATGTGAAATTTCAAGTTTACACATTTTAATTAAGTATTTATAGTTCAATTGCTTGTATATAATCTTAACACAGTTTGTAAATAATTTTATAATTACATTGTATCTATTGATAAATACTTAATTTTATCTGTTTTATTTTTTGTGAACTTTGCAATCAATGGAAGATGGAGGGACTGTTAGTATAGCTTTGGTTGAAAGCTCAGTTCTAAAAGAATCCGACAAAATTAAAGTGGGTCAGCCAGCCCCAACCCATAAAGATTGCAAAGTGCTAGGTCAACAGAAATGGCAGTTCAGTTGGGTTTGGCAGGTCAAGGAAGACCTAGCTTGATTGAAACAAATATATGCTGGTGTAAAGATCATTGACCCAATTAATCAACCCCCTATTTGACATACATTTACAGCTCTACTGCCCATATTCATCAGTCAAACTGCTTGTTGAACCAGAAACTGTTCGAAATCCATTAGGTAAACTGCAAAACTTTCTGCCCATAAAAAAAAAAAAAAAAAAAACCCAAAAAAAAAAAAAAAAAAAAAAAAAAAAAAAAAAGGGAAAAGAAAAAAAGCTTATATATAGATTTGGTTTCAGAACAATGAACAGCATTCTTTGTTGATCACATTCAAATCCCACCTTCTTGTTAACCAGCCAACATAAACAAGCAAATTCAAAGATCAAGAAAACAAATGCAATCTATAATTTGAAGCATCATATAAGTAAACCATTATGGCTACAAAAAGTTAGCTGAAAAACAACAAATTCTACTAATTTTCTGGAAGTAAATTTCATATCGCACTTGCATTCAAGAGTGTATGCTAGGAACTTCGCTCACGCACATTGTGCTAGTCAGTTTTATAAGTCTGCGAGTCTCTTCATCCAACTGAACATTGTCCTTCTCCATCCTTTCTGCAACTATAAGTGGCATTTTACCAGCTTCTGCATAAGTTCTTAGAAGTGAATTATATATCTCAGTGCTCACATGACCAGCATTCCGAAGAAACACCAATAGTTCCTCCGCCCCTTGTATATTGCCTTCCTCCTTGAGCCTGTTAAATACTTCTCCAATCAATCTTTTGTCAGGATCCCATCTTTTCACACTACCAACAGCTTTCTTAAAATTATCTAGCACTTTTTCCGTATGTTTTTGTTTCAAAAAACCCCATGTAAGAAGCTCCCAAGTACTGTAACAAGGCGTTGTGCCATTTTGCACCATCCGATTATGAAATGTTTCAGCCATTTCCATTTGGTCTTTGTTGATATACGCTGCAAGAAGTATATTTGAAACCCTGGCATCATGAGTCCCAGAAACAGACTCCCACTCAGTATAGAGTTTCTCAGCATCTTCAAACTCCTTGAATTTCACAAGCGAAGATAGCATACATGTGTACTCAGCATCATTCATTTTGCGGAAACATGATTTCATTTTCTTCCAGATTCGCCAAACACCATCCTTATCGCCGATGTTTGTATGCAGGCTGAGCAGGGATGAATATGCAACTCGATTTTTCCGAGATGCTATTTTCTCCATCTCCTTCAAGGTAACTGCTGCTTTTTCGGTCAGCAAACTTTTTATGTACAAGTTGGTTAACGTACTAAAGGTAACCCAGTCAGGATTTAGCTTTGCCTTCTTTAACTCAAGGAAAACTTTTTCTGCAGTTTCAACATCACTTTGCAAAGCACAAACGGTTAACCACAGATTGTAAGTAACAACATCTGGCGAAGTATTACTCTTCAACTCCTGAATTACTTCTGGAACCTTGTCAAATTGCCCATTGGAAACGTACAAGGACAAAATGTGGTTATAAGCAAGGGGATGCTTCATGTAACCACACTGTGACATCTTTGCCATCAGAGCTTCTGCTTTGTCAGACAATTTATTCTGCACATAGGTATGCAGAAGAGCTGTACAGGTAGGGCGGTCTGTCATCTGATCAGGAAGATCCTCAAAAAACTTTTCCGCACTATTTAAGCCACGAACTTTTGCAATCAAGTCTAAGTGAACGGCATAATCACCTGGTAGTAGCTTCATATCTTGTTGTAATGTCATCCATTCACATATCTGCATAAACAATGTTCAAAATTAGAATAGGAGGCCAGTTGAAAAGGAAACAATTTCCCGAAAAGCTCAATAAGTTATGAAACATCCAACTAGATTTATTTGGCATCCCAATAACTAAGGTAGCTGTAACCAAGAAGCCAACATATAGATCATGTTCAACTTTACAAAAGTTAGCTGAAACTTATATCACTGCCCATGAATGAAAACAGAAGACAGGAAAACAATAGCCCTCTCGAGAGCCACATTAACTTGAAGGTTTTCTTGAACAAATTTTACAATCACTCCATATGCACATTCAATTATCCCCTGGAGCGCATTCTTGAGAGTTGGAATACTCACCAGCACACCTTCATTATAATTCCTAAACAAAAATACTAAAAGCTGGACAATTGGAAAAGTACTTCTGTAAGACCAACATTATCAACCAGACCAAAAGCATTCCAATTTTCACTTCACCAATTCAACTTCAACAGAATTCAAATAGCTTGCACCTTCAAATGCTTAAAGCAAATTTGACTGGGTAACAAATTGCTATATGCTCTGTAACAATATACACTCATTTAAACCTATCAACTCAGACCATTTACGCAAACTCAATCATGCATAAAAAAACCCCCAACACCATCAATCCTAAAAGTACTTCTCACTTTCTACAACTAGCAAAAGCATCAAGAGCAAACCAAAGATTAAAACTTTAACTTGAACAAAGCATAAACACAAGGGTTTTTTTTAAACAAACCAACCTCGAGTGCGTGTTTGTATCGCTTGAGCTTGCGAAGCTCACGAACGATGCGATTGAGCTCATACTTGCGCACCGTGTGCCCTTCCTCTTTCCATTTCCGTATGGCAATCACAGCGCTGCGTTTTGGAAACACCAGGCTCATAAGTCTCCTTCCCAGCGTGTCTCGACCACCGCTCGAGCTTTTCTCCACGCTGGCGGTCGCCGCCTTCGTCTCCACATGCGCCTCCGCCGTGAAATGGCGGACGGCGGCGATGGAGCTCCGCAGGTTTCGAATTAACATCTTCCTTCAGTTCTTGAACCTCTTTGCCAGTCTCAGCTACCGTCAGTCTCAAGGCCCTCAACTCTCGACGTCGCCGTCTTGGGCATTTGACACGAGCCATTGTGCTTTTGTTGGGCCAAGAAGAATTAAACTGGGCCATTTTGGGCCACGAAGAATTAAACTGGGCTGAAAACTCCAGTACGACAAAAATTAACATCACCTTTGGTCCATGTAATTTGTCGATTTTTTTATTTTGGTATATGTATGTAGTTTTAATTTTGTCAATTTAATCTTTGTAATTTGATTCTCTCGCAATTTAAAGAGACATCTAATTTTCATACAATTTCATCCTAAATTTCATCTAAAATACGCATATATATAATGAATATGAAAAATATTTTTGCTCACCACTTTAACTTAATGTTTATCATTATTACCTTTTCCAACACTTGATATTTGTTTATGGACACGTGTCAAGGATTAAGAATAGTGGTGACAGTATATCTTGGGTTCAAGTGGTGAGCAAAAATGCTCGTTGTGAAATTATACAGAAGTTTAGATATGTCTTTGAATTATGATAGAATCAAAATACAAGACATGTCTTTTTTATTTTTGTTGAAATACAAGATATGTCTTTGAATTGTGATAGAATCAAAATATAAAGGTCAAATTGCCAAAATAAAAACCACGGAATGAAAAGTGACTTGTCGCCAAACTAACAAATCATCACTCGAACGGCAGCTCAGAGACCGTCGTCAATCTCACGCCTTCATTGATATTGATACGTTCAACATAAAACCCTGCGACTCTCAGTTCGCGCTTTTCTGTTGGCCCAAGACGAAGATGTCAGCAGCAGGTATCTATGGCGGAAAACGCACCGGCGTCCGAGTCGTCGTCGCCGGTGATCGTGGCACCGGCAAGTCGACCTTGATCTCTGCAGTGGCCACCGAAGCCTTCGACCGAAACGTCCCTCCTGTGCTCCCGCCGACGCGCCTCCCCGCCGATTTGTACAACGATCTCGTTCCCATCACCGTCATCGATACGTCTTCCAGGTATGTCTATACATACACACATACGCATATACATACACACTAAGAACGAAAATTGCAATTTCTTTTTTGCCAAGAAAAAACGAAAATAGCTGTTTTTTTATTGAAGTTTGTGTTGATAAAATATATTTAGCTTGGAGAATAGTAGTAAGCGCAATGAAGAATTGAAGCGGGCTGATGTGGTGGTGTTAACTTATGCCTGTGATCAACCGATGACGCTCAGTCGTCTCTCTACTTACTGGCTGCCTGAGCTTCGTCACTTGGGGGTTTGTAATTCTATTGCTTTACTGGCATGGCATTTTTTTCCTTGTTGAGTTAATTAATATTATGAGAAAATTGGAAATGGTTAGGTGAAGGTGCCGGTTATTCTGGTGGGATGCAAGTTAGATTTGCAAGACGAACAGGCGCCAATGAGCATGGAGCAGGTGATGTCACCTATCATGCAGCAATTTAGGGAAATCGAGACTTGCATTGAGTGTTCAGCAGCCACTAATAATCAGGTATATTCAGATGCCTAAACACTTTTGTTTCCTGTGTTAAATAAAGGTAAGAGATCTTGATGTTTGAACCTTGTAAATTACTTGTTATTAGGTTCCGGAAGTATTTTATTATGCTCAGAAGGCAGTCCTTCATCCAACAACCCCGTTGTTTGATCAAGAAAGGCAAGCTCTGCAACCCCGATGCATTAGTGCTTTGAGAAGGATATTTACTCTTTGCGATCATGACATGGACGGTGCCCTCAATGATTCAGAACTGAATGAATTCCAGGTTTCCTTTTTCCCTTTTCTGTTGCGTGTCTTCCAATCGTTTTTCAGTCACTTATTTGGAAGTTTGACATTTGGTAACTGCCACAAACAGGTTAAATGTTTTAATGCTCCACTACAGCCTGCTGAAATTGTGGGAGTTAAAAGGGTTGTACATGAGAAGCTACCAGATGGTATCAACGAAATTGGTCTTACCCTCAGTGGGTTCCTTTTTCTTCATGCTCTTTTCATTGAGAAAGGACGTCTTGAGACAACTTGGGCCGTCTTGAGAAAATTTGGATATGATGATGACCTAAAACTTGCAGATGAGTTTGTTCCAGTTCCATCCAAGCGTGCTCCAGATCAGGTATAGCTCAAAAGGTCTTGTTATTTTGAAGTTTTAGTGTTGCTACACTGTTTTTGTTCATTAGAAGGCATAGATGCAAGCTTTTATGATAAAAACTTTAGTATTGTAATGCTAATGAATAGAAAATCTGTTTATTGGCTCCTGCCAATGTGTTTATTTTTACTGTCATATTTCATAATACTTTGTTTTTTAATGGTGAATATGCAATACTTATTCTTAAACGTCTTGTTTTAGAGCGTGGAGCTGACAACTGAAGCTGTTGAGTTCCTGAAGGGGATCTTCCGTTTATTCGACACTGATAATGTATACCCTGATATCTATTCTCACCATACTTTCTATGCCTTTGCAATGTAATTTATGTTTTGTCTCTGTTTACGGTGCTAATGATTATTCTGTAATATTATTTCCAAATGTACCTTGGCAACTAGGACGGAGCCCTACAACCACATCAGCTTGAGGAACTATTTGCTACTGCTCCAGAAAGGTGAATTCAATTATTATTAGAATTTGTTCAATAGTTTTCAGTACATATTTCATTATATTTGCTTGCATACCTAGTTTTGTTTTCATTACGTATTCAATGAAACCCCACTGTAATGGTTACCTGCATATAATGCTGCTTGTGCCAGCTGAGAAGGGGGCATCTCTGCTGCCTGCAAGGTTCTGAAGTTACTTAATAGATTTGTGCTTCAGCTTATATCTGCTGTTTTATGGGCAGTAGATTTTCTGTTCCTCACACACAATTAAATATTTACACACACCTCTTGATTGTTGGAATAACATCCTGACAATATAGTTCAGCTTTATGAGTTGCTGAAACATATTAATGATGGAGTCATCTTTAATCTGTCTCGTGATGAATTTAACTTTAATTTCTCAAATGGTGAGTCCAGATAGCCAGGATGTCACGTTCAAAATGTTTCATAGTTTCTGTATTTTCTATGATATAGTACTTCTGATTGTGATAGTTTCCTGAGCTACATGTATTAATGTCTTCAAGTATTTTCTATTAACTGCCACCTGCATGAAGTCCTGATCTATCTCTATGCTTTTCTACCTTTTTCAAGTATTTTTAATTAACTACCACCTGTATATTGTGGGATTAAATAATGAATGTCCCTATCTTGGTTTCTTTTTATTCTCCATAATAGATTTCTTAGTATTGTGTTCAATGTTTTTTTTCAGTCCTTGGAGTGAACTACCCTTTGAAGATGCTGCAGAGATAACAGCATCAGGGAATTTACCTCTTAATGCGTTCCTGTCTGAGGTATATCTTCTTTCTTGTTGCTACCCTGTTTAGAGTAGCTGCTTATATTCATCACCATTTTTTGTTTTATCTATTTCTTGATGATAAAAGTGTCTTTCTTTTAATCTCGTTAAGTCAATTGTATGCTGTAACTGTATTTGTGTTTTATGTGTGATTCCAGTGGGCCCTCATGACACTAATAGATCCAAAGAAAAGTATGGCTAACTTGATATACATTGGATACACTGGTGCTCCTGCTTCTGCGCTCCATGTTACTAGAAGAAGATCAGTAGATCGTAAAAAGCAAAAAACTGAAAGAAATGTCTTCCACTGCTTCGTGTTTGGTCCTAAAAATGCAGGAAAAACCGCTCTTTTGAATTCATTCATAGGAAGGTATTGCTCTCAAACTTTACTGTGCTCAATATGGTATCTAGTACTCTGTATTATTATATAAAATGAAGAGGAAGAGGTGACTGTACAAATTTAACCTATTGACTCACACTTCCAAATTTTACTCAATACCTTATCTCCCGTTTGTTTTCAATCCTTGGTTAAAAACAAAATTCTCTCAAATGCGGCTATAGAGTTGTACACAATTGAAATATTTTATACCTGAAATAACCTTATTTTCTTTTATTTATTTTATTTTATTCCAAATTGAGAGAAATCTCACATGGATGTGCCGCACTTGGGTGTCCAAGCATTATATTATGAATTTTCAGCTATCGCCATATCTGCTACCTATTTCCTGTTTGACTCTGTCCATTTCAGAATTTATTTGTGGTGACTGCACATCATTTATTTTTCATTTGACATTGTTAATTTATTGTTGCCAATTTCAACGTCAGGTCTTTCTCAAAGAGTGACACTACAACAACTGGTGAGCGTTTTGCAGTGAATGTTATTAACCAGGTTGGGGTGAGTACCGTCAAATATAAAAAAATTTCTTACACGCATTGAAATTGTTTTTGTGAGAAGAGAGCAAGTTTGATAAATTCCTGGATGAAAGTAAATGGATATGTGGCAAACAAAAGAAATGAACAAAAATTATTGCCTGTATGATTTCTAATATCTTGGACCTAAATGTATCCATGAATTGATGGTGTGACTTGTGCTATAGGGGAATAAGAAGACTCTTGTATTGAGAGAGATACCAGAAGATGAAGTTAAAACCTTTTTTTCTAAGAAGACCTTTTTGGCAGCCTGTGATGTAGCTGTCTTTGTCCATGACAGGTGATTTTATTTTATTTTGTTCATTAAAATTAACAAATTTATTATTTCAATTTTCCACAAAATGGAGCACAACGGTAATGTGTGTTAGGCTTTTCTTTTGTGAGTTGTTGACCAATTTTGATTACTGGCATTGTTATAGGATTTAACATAATTTTGCATGGTTTACTCATATATGCATATAATTTTAACAATTCAAGGCATTCTGTATATAGAGGTACTACCTTGGTTTTGTTCGCTTCAGACTAGGCTTAACACGAAGTCAAACCGTCAGAAGAGATGTGGTTTCTTAGAACCTAATTAACCAACCCATGTAAGGTTTGGTGGTTTGGTTTGTCTGGACTAGTTCAAAGTTTGCAAATAGCTTTTTCTTGGAAAAAGGTTTTTGATGGTTAGATTCATACCAATACGGGGAAAAAAGGCCAAAAAGTTAATCAAACTTAGAAGCTGCACATTAAAAATTTGATGGTTAGATTCATATAAATACTTCAATCAATTTGTTTATCTAATATTTGTAGCATGTAGATCGGTTGGTTATACATGCCTTTGTGGCATTGTTTGAATAACTCAGATGTGCTGGAAGAATTATAAGTTCTGTTTATTTCAGTGATTTCATGCCGTGACATTGTTTTTCACTTTCCAGTTCAAGTGAACGTTCATGGAAGAGATCAAGGGAGCTCCTTGTGGAGGTTGCTAAGCAAGGAGAAGAAAGTGGCTATGGTGTACCTTGCCTCCTTATTGCTGCTAAGGATGATCTGGATCCATATCCAATGGCAGTACGAGATTCACTAGGGGTATAAAACTGTTCATTGTTTTGTCTTCTCATACTTGCATATGTTTGGAAATGAATGATCAACTACTCCATGAAGTTGTGATTTTGCTTCATGTTGTTTATTTGAGGGAGAAACTAGCTAATAATTATGATTTTTTACTCTTTTCTTCAGATTAGTCAGGAATTGGGCATAGAGGCACCTGTTCGTGTGAGCATGAAGTTGAACACTATGAATGATGTGTTCAATAGAATCCTAAGTGTAGCTGAGCATCCTCACTTGAGTATTCCTGAAACTGAGACTAGGAAGAACCGCAAGAAGTACCTCCAGGTTGTTAATCGATCACTTATGTGTGTTTCAGGTATGTTTCACTCTCTCCTCTCTCTCTAAGAATTCTCTTCTGAGTTCATACACACTAACTTTATAGATCTGTTATATCGTTTTATAGTTGGCGCTGCTGCTGCCTTTGTTGGACTGGCAGCGTATCGTGCATATTCAGCAAGGAGAAACGCTTCCGGTTAGGTGCCGGGATTTGGCCATCAATCAATTGCTGTTGCAGTCTACGAAAACAATTTCGTTGATGGGTTAGTTTTGCGTGGTTTTTCCCAGAAACTTTTGGTTCTATTGGGACATTCGAAAAACAGCACATGTATAGAAATTGCTTGCAATTATTTTTCTCCCAGAGAGGGCTGATTTCCTTTAACGTTTACAAATCTCCTCATACATTATACTCCAGGTAAGAATTGCTTGTAATTTAAACAGTAGTGCAACATCAACGTTATTAATAATAATGAAGTTTGATGCTGAGAGTAGTTATCCCTTTCTTTTTTTTACTGTCAAAATACTGAAAGAACGAGACAACAAGCAAACATGTTAGTTCTTGGGCTGGGCTTTCAAGAATGGGCTTCTTCAGCTTAATACATATCGAGTGTCGTCCAATCTGAAAATCCATTCACTATCAATCTCAGTTGTGTATTTATTTATTTTGGGATACAGGTGATAGTGAGGGAGGGGAATTCAAATACTGAACCTCGGGCCGCACCCGTTCTTGACCACTTAAGTTACAAGCTTCTCGCTAATCTCAGTTGTTTCTTGACCACTTAAGTTACAAGTTTCTTGCTAATCTCAGTTGTTTAGGCATGTAAAACCAACATCCCACACGATAAACGTTTAAGATCAATATAGCATACAAAATGTAAACATTTTAGTTGCAAGTGATGTCGTCTCAGATTGCTTCATGCAGTAATGATGTGTAATTTCGGCAAAAAGTTGTCTGCGCCAATTTGGGCGCCCCGTGACTGGATGGACGTGCATATTTGTAAATGTAGCTCCATTAGTGGGTGCATTTGAATTTTAACGTGTGACAAGCTAAATCCTAAGTGATGCTAGCTAGGTTGAGTGAGCAAGGGAACATAGACTTATGATTTTGACTAAAGGGTGTCTCTGCCTTCAATCCAGATGTTCATGTTCCTCTTTATGCTTACCTGATTGAACTTGTTGGCCAAAATTTTCCATAATCTCACCCACAAAAACCTTCAATTGGGGCCTTATTCACAGCTTTGTATTTGGTTTTATGATTTTCTTCAAATTAAAAATTGTTTTGGTGTATGGAATATTGGCATTCCAGTGGAATCTTCTTTGTAAGTTTTTTCTTGATTCATAAAAAATAATAATAATAATAATAATAATAAAAAATCAAGTGTGGTTAAATTTAACGTTCAGAGATGTCTTTAATTATCTTCTAATCAGTGACTTGATTATTTGCGTCTAATAAATTACGTAAATGTATTTGAACTTTTGAAAAAGAAAAAGAAAAATATTTGAAAAGGTGGGATTTTGGAAGATCGAAATATCAGACCAAGTTGGAGGGGAAAGAGGTAAACAAAATCTTATTTCATTGATTCCATCCATCACTCCCAAGAAGAACCGCCCTTGGTCAAGTCTCTCTCTGTGATCTATCTGCCTGACATGGAGGAGCAATTTTATTCCTCACAAGATCTCAAGCGATCGCTTTTAGCTGCATGCTTTTGACTAGTTTCCTTCATGCATCACTGCGGCCAAGATATTTGTCTCCACATTATTGGTGGCTTTGAGAGAGAGAGAGAGAATCTTCCATGATCGATACGGCTTTCAAGCCCTAAAAAACTGTATAGAGATTCTAAAATCTCAACATATATCCCTAGCTAGAGGTAGATTTGGTGCTTAGTTTAGCCTTTGAAGTTACAAAAGAATGAACCTGCAGGCATCGAAAAACCTAGCTAGCTGCTAATACTAGAACCCAAATAACCCCCATGCAAGTTTCTGCATGGTAATCATATCATATATTCTTTAAACTCAAATCAAAGCTTGCTAGTCATTAATTTGAATGTCGTTTTATGAATATATATATATACAGATATTTGATCAGCTTCATCAAGAACAAACATGTTGCATGCAATGTGAAAGGAAAAAAAATATCCCCTGATTCAATCTTAGTCTATCATCTCGTATTGACGGTAATTGATGTGTCTGTTAGTCGGCAGGAGCAAGGACGTACGGCTAGGATTTCCACTAAGATTTGTTCATCTCGACTAGCTAGGGTTCCTAGCTATATAGCTATAGTTAGCATAATCGGTGGGTATGAGTGGGCCAGGGCTATTGATCGAATTGGAGACAGACACATACATATTACCAAAATGATGATCATAAAATCTTTTTCTTTTATTTTAGAGAGAGATAAATAATTGCAAGCTAGGTAGCAGACAGAGAAATCTTATGATACCCAACAAAACAGCATAGACTAAGATATCCAGAATCCAAAAATGCTTATAGGATCGTGGGGTCCTCCTTTGATACCGTCGTGGATCTTCTGCTCTGAATCATCCCCTTCAACATTTGTCAACCGTATATATTCTCACAAGATCATATATAGATATACCACTTGCATCAGCAGATATACCACTTGCGCTCATCAGCTTCCCTCAGGACTAGTTTATATAAATATATATATATATATATATATATAACACAAGACAAATTATTAATGATATGATATGTTACACAAAATTAATCAAATCAATGTGGGATATGTGTATTTATAACTTGATTAATTGTGGGTTAACTTTAAATACAAGTAATGGTAATGCATGTCACTGCATGAAATGCGCATTTCAGGTGTTTTGGACTCATTAATTTAAGGGGAGGGTTTCCTAGTTTTTTATTTTTTATTTGGCTTTCCCTTTATATGTATGTATGTACTTTTCATCATTGCTAAGGTGGACTCGCCCTTCCCCCACTTCCCCGCCCTTTCTCACTTTCTGTCTGTGGTTGTAAAATCCAATACCAACTCAACCATCAATATGTCATTTAGAATATTGGTGATAAAGATGTCTACAGAAACAAATGTTTTCTGTTTTTCAGCCACCAAACAAGTATATAATATCGATTCATCGATCAGCACCAAGACTCTGGTGGCCTTGGTTTAAAGCTAGAGAGAGAGAGAGAGAGAGAGAGAGAGAGAGAGAGAGAGAAGAAAAGGGATTAGGTTGATGACATGGAAGTCCAACACACACAAGCATGTACGGAAGAGAGTGGTATATAATTAAATAATATATTGGACACATGTGGAGAGCAATGAAGTTGAACACGTAAGACAAGAAGGGTGACAATGCGTTGCTGCTGCTGAGTGGAAGGAGATGGAAGACCACACATAATTAATTGGTGGGATTTAGTTTACAATCCTCCCATCCCCAAGGGCAAGGCACATACATTTTCAGGATGAGACCGACGACCAGGGCCAAGGAAGGGCCTTTGTCACCTGTCGTGGACTTCATATATCATTTGTGGGCTTCTAGGGCTTATCTAGCTTGGTGCGGTCCTAATTAACACGTAACATTTATATATATTTTTGTAATATTTTCTCAGGTGCAAAAGCAAAACCACACAAGGGACAAGGCCAACTCAGCCTTACCCATGCATGCAAGTTGAGAGGGAAAGCTAGAGATGGCTCAGACACAAAGTAGCATACACATAACGCAAAAGCTAAAAAAGGTTGGAGACATGTCAACATTTGAGGTCTTTGTGGGGTTGTGCTTTTTTCTTTTCTTTCTCTTTCTTGTGTCTGTGTCCAATTGGATGGACAGAGTGTGGGCTAAGTAATTTTTAGTCGGAGCACACCATCACGTAATGTTACTAAATTACATTATATATATCTGAAAATGCCTATATAGAAGACATATTTTATACGTTCTACGTTACATGAAAGAAAATGTACACCAATGGCCAATGAGATCGATAGAAATCAAACCAATCATAAGAGTGGAGGAGTAATTTTTTGAGAAAATGACGATAGTATTTTATTGATGGTAGTAACTAGTACAAAAACCGAGCTATGTAATCGGGAATTAGGAGAGTGGTGGAGTAACTTTGAGATATAATTTGGGAAAATTTGAATTCATGGGAGCCTCTCGGCCCTCCATTATGGGATGTGTCAGATCCCTTTCAATGATAGTACGTGCCCAAAAGGTGTATATATATAAACCTACGTACAATTTTGGTCATGATATGAAAACTCAAAACCTAATTGGTTCGCATGCAGATACTCAGATATATATATGTATAGTCAGTGACAACATGAGTTGTATATTTTTCAAGTACTATAGTACTGTCATGGTGAAAATGGGTCCCATCGCTGTCCAAAGTTTTGCCCACTTCCAATTCATGTGTTTAATTTGGTGGAGTATTTCACTTTCTCCACTACTTGATCAATCTAGTACGATAGGCAAACACCAGCCATGGCGCCATGTGAAGACTGAAAAAATCTGCAGCAAAGAGGTACGTATGAGACTTTTATTATCAAGAGTGAGAGGAGTGTGATGTTGGCCATTTATATAAACCCATCAATGGCTAAATCTGGGGCAGGCAGTTATATATTGCGCACCAACATGCCGGTATCTTTCATGGATATTGATACTACTTTCAACTGACAATAAAATGAAAGAGATCGATCACAAGATATCACTTCTTTGTTGTGAGATAACATATTGATAAAGGCCTCCACTCCATTAACTAATCTAAACTAAAAGGTTCTCTCAAATTAAGCACATGATGTATATTGAACAGAATGTTGCATGTGCAAAAGTTGACAGCTTCATTTCCTTTTCCTTTCTAACCACTCCCATCGTACAACTCTTGTGGTACATGACGTATGGATGCCCCCCAACTCCCCATGAGTATAGTGGACAATGTACTCTCTTTCAAAATTACTAGCTTCTTTGCCGCCGAGAAAAGAGGTGTTTTATTAATCACGCGCGCTAACATAGCCTTGAAACGAGAAGCGGAGGAGAATTTCAATTTGCTATCAACCATGTTAATTAATAGTACTCTAAAAACACCTCTAAACCCCTATTAATTATTGGTTAGCCGTCACGAGGAATTTGTAAAGAAACTTTACTGCCGAAGCTGCAACATGTATATGTTTGATCGCATGACTAGCTCAACTCTTGTATGTTTGTGATGGAAGGAATATCATGAGATGGAAGAGGAAAAAAGTGATCCCACATGGATGATGGACATTGATGAAGTCAGTCCATGTTACCTTTCGGGGCCTACCCTTAACCAGGCATTCATTCATTCGTACCCACAACTTGCAACATATATATTTACTTTCCTTTGCATGAAAATGCCATTTTAATTTAGGAGCTAAATGTGGGTTGTTCTACCATTCAGTTCTTGTTTATGGGTACATGTTATAAATATATATATATATATATATGTATGTGAAATATCATCTCTTTTGGGTTAGTGTGTGGGTATAAATACAAAGATGCTTTTATCCGTACAAGGTATCAAATATGGTGTATAAGAATCCGGAAAATGTAAAAACTTGTAAAATAAAACAAAATTAAAACCCTACCATTTTCCGGCTTTATACGCATCACATAACTTGTCACATATCACACCGTCGTGTATGAAATCAGTGTAACTAAGTTTTAGATTCATATATAATGATGTTACTATACTGAACTCAACAGCGTTTGTAAGGAAAGTGTAGCATATATAATTTGAATTCTGAGAAGTAGCTTGGGAAGAACATGGGAAACGAAGATTAAGTTTTCAAAGTACCATAGTGCACTTTCAAGAGATGGTCCAAAATGCTGGCCATAAAAAGTGATGGCTAGGTCCTTTGATTGGCTAACAGCATTTGGGAGCAGGACCAGCAAAATGCTTTAAAATTGTGGTAGTTGGTGAAACTACGTCACTTTGCGCACGTTTGGTTGTCAGTATGGCCCGTGTTCAAATGCTTAATGGAAATTCGAACTTTGCGAAGGGTGGGCTCATTGTTCTGATTAACTAGTCTAATTCACGTTTATATTATTATTAATAATTATTTAATGTTCATGGCTTTTGCTAATTGCTGTTAAGCATGCGTTGGGAACAATAGGTTAATTATATTCATGAGAGAGAGAGAGAGAGAGAGAGAGAGAGAGAGATGGAAATGTCCAATAACGATAATAACTAACATTAGCATACTGAGGAGAAATTCGAAGCTTATGGCAGCTTCAAATATTAATGACTGAAAAATCTAGAGATTAAGTAAAAATCATAAGTAAATATTCATTAGACAGAGGCAGACAGAGACACAGAGAAGAGGAGGTGTTTAAGTGGCGACCCAAAAAGACTCCGGCCAATTCATGACCATCTTCTTGTTCCCACGCCGACCTTCTTTGCATCTGCTTGGCCTTGGAAGCTTCCCCATTCCCTTTTCACCCCCAACATTTCCACTATTTCCATCCATCTCCTCTGCTTCAACAACATTTCCAGCATTCCCATCCATCTCCTCTGTTTTCACATTTCCACTCTTCCAATCCATTTCCTCTGTTTCAACATCAAAGCCATTTTCTTCCTCACAATCATAAGCTTCATTTTCAGCTTCCATTTGATTTTGAACCTCATCTTCTTCAATCTCAACAGCTTGATCATCTTCCACAGGGCATTCTTCTTCGCAGTCATCCTCTCCAGCTTCTTCAATGTCACAGTTCGGAGAAGGGTCCTTCAACAAAAGCAGCCTGAGCCTGCCATCACCACGCTCGGCTTGGAAATAGGCGGTTGGAGGAGAGCTGACAGTAACGGCTTGCAAAACTAGCCGGCCTCCTTCTCTGTGAGGCCTCACTTGAACACCATTGGAGCCACTGATAGATGTTAAGGGAGGAGGAAAACTAGTAGCAACACTACGTTTCAATCTCTTTGGTGAAGCTCGAACATTATTGTCACTCGATATTTTAGAACTTTCACTTGTAATAGTGGGAGTGCATGTTGGGTTAATTTTTCCACTACTTTCAAGTGAGAGAAAAGAAATGTCAGCATCAATTTGCGAAAAAAGAGAAAAGTCATCACCGCCGTTTTCGCTACCGGTCTCGCTGCCTAAGCTTTCAGTGCACATTTCCAAGCTTTTTGGGCTCAGCATTAAAGCAGAGCGCTTCACAAGTGGGTGGACATAGACTTTCTCTGTTTTGGTGGTCTGATTTTTCTGGTTGCCGAGAGACTGGAGGAAGCTCCAGCCAGGCTTGTCAGCGTCCTTGCTGTCAATCAAGTTCAAGTTGTTGTTTGTGGTTGTGATGGTTTTTTCAATGTGGGATATTTCCTCTGTCTCTTGAGGGTCAGGCTTGCAATCCCAACAGGGGGTTGAGGGAAAATTTGACCTGGGTGGAGCCAGTTTGAGCCTAACAAGAGGCTCGGGGCATGATTTCATCCCTTGATGGCAAACAGTGCTTGATGTTGACGACATGTTGATATGCACAATAAGGATTTGAATAGAAAAGAAAAAACAGAGCAAAGGGCAGAACAGGGGAGGGGGTTGAAAGAGGGGAGCTTGAATTTGGATGAAAATGTAAGAAATTTGAAGTCTTATGAGAAAAGTGGTGTAAGAATGAGACCAAAGACAAGATTTTAAAGAAAACCCAGGTTTTGGTTTAGGTAGAATTGCAGACGGGTGGCTTTAGAGAAATTAAGAGGTAGGGAACGGATGGGTGAGGAATATGAAAGAGAAGTGGAAGGGGTGGGCTTGAATTTATAGTGAGATATGGTGGGGGATTTTTGTAGCCTCTCTGTAGAGTCATAAACTGTGGAGTCTAGTGAAGGAAGGAACATTTGTGCCCACTAGAATTATACATATATGTTTTATTTTCCATACTGCCACACGTTATAAGCCTATTGTCATATAGAGAGCTAGAATTCGAAAAAGATGAAACTCAAAATAAACTAAAATGTATTTTGGACGGTCGTAAAGGCATTCGTGGTTGTAGGGCGGATCAAAATCATCAGGGCATGTTTGGTTGAGTCTTTAAAAAACTGTTCTTTAACATACTCTTCCAAAAAGCAGGAGAAAAATAATAGTTTTGACTTTTGAGCTTTCTTCAATGGTTTCATCATTTTCTAACTGAAATCAAAACAGATTCTGCAATAGCAAGTTTAATTTAAACCCTGTGAAAACAGAGATGCTAATTCGAAAACCCAAGAAAACCAGAGGTAATAATTCCAGAATGAGTTTCGTGTTATTCTTGGCCGCTAAGACAACTTTTTGTTGTTGCTTAACTATAAATAATTGTGGGGTTGGATCAATTTATGTGATGAAACCATTTGCATACCTCATTTGTTAGGGAACACAATGCTTTCTCACCCATTTGCATTTACTTCCAATTCCAAATGAAAACCAAACAGAGACAACATAAAGGAAGAAGGATTCTCTTTGATATTCATTCACAGAATTCCTATTTTATTGCATGTGTTTTGGTCAAAAACTAAGTTGATGATGTTAGAGGACCCATTTGTCAATTGACTAATTGTTTCAACTTTCATACCAGAAAAAAAAAGGTGCAGTTAAATGACCAAACAGCGGCGTGGCAACAGAAATCAATCAGCATAAAACATATAAAATCACCGACCAATTGAGATTATGAGAAGAACCCATTGGTGGACAGGACACTTAAAGTTAATATAAACCTGTCTTTGGTCTTTACTGTCTTCTAAGGCAAGAGTTATTAGCCCTAATCATGAAGCTTATTGCACACTCAAAAATCCCAAATTTGTAGCAGTTTTTACTCTTCACAGCAAAAGAAAAGCAACATCTCCCTGCTTTTTTATCCCTGGGGGCGGCCTGCCCTTTTGCTATTTTTCCCAGATCTTCTTTTGTTAGGTAAATTCCAAAAAAAAAAAGTAGGCACATGCTTGTGTGTGCTATAAAAAAAAAATTCAAATTACATGTTCTTTTAACTTATTAGGCAATATTAACACCAAAGGTGTTTGCTGCTGCTGCTGTTGCAGCTGCATCAGCACCAAAGGCCAAGGCTTTCCAAGCATTTGAAATTCTGAGTTGAACTCATGCATCTAACATTCACTCACACAATCTGCAGAGGCAACCAAAAGTTGGCTATAAAAATTTGGCATTGGATGCCACTTTCGTTGCTGTTTTTCTTTTCTTTTCTTTTCTTCCCATTTGTCCTGTTAATTAAGCAAACTATTGAGCCAACATGCATTGTTATAAATATCGGAACAAGAAAAGAAAACCAAACCAATTTCAGTCATATAAGAATTTTAGCTAAAGAAAGGATTGAATTATTCTCTTAAAGTTGATAGCAAAAATAGTTGCCCTGCCCACTTGCACCAGCCGACATGAAGTGGAGCAGAGCAACATCCCTAACCCTTCTCTGTACTTTTCTTTCCAAGGTATGCGGCTTAAAACATGCATTTCCAAGGAACTGAGACCAGTTCGAAAATCAAAGAGAACCGTACTATAGTACTATCAGCTACTATAATTTTCACATCAGAAAAAGACTTGAAGGCATCTAGCAAGCAGTAAAATGGATGCCTTGCCCTAAACTGGTGCCCTTGGAAAAATCTCAGAACCTCTCCTGATATTGGAAAAATCCAACATGTTGTTTATCTTTTGTGTTTGGTCTTTTATTTGTTGTCCATCTTAAACCCCCCAGGTAACTTCATTAAGACAAGAGTTACCCTGCAATTAATTCAGCTGCAATAGGTTCAATTAACCAGTGGATGAATTTTATCTCTGTTTGGATGAAATATACAGAAGCATGAGCACTGTAACAATATGTGTGACCACATTGTTTTTAAAGATAAAATCCAAAAGTTTATGGATAAGTATTTACTGTAATTCAGAAATTACTTGCACCTGACAATTTGCATGTGAAATATATATATATATATATGTTTTTGAACTTTTTTATGGAGCAATTATCAGAATTGCTTGCCAGTCCTCATGCTCAGGGCCTATGATTGCCTGAGAAGGTCCAATACATACACATGTACATTATTGGAGCCTTGAACTTGACTGTAAAAATCAAACATCTTAATTTCCCATGAATTTATTTATTATTTGGGTCAGTTTGTACCTGTATGCACCTTAAGAGAGCTAAATTAGTAGTTACTTGTAATAGTCTTTTGAGGAAACAAATGAACAAACTGCTCAGAAATCAACAGATAGTACATTGGATGTTCTGATGTTCAATAATGCTAATCCTCGAATCTAATACGAATAATTTGATTTACGCGGTTTTTCTCTGCATATCACCTTAAATAGGAGAAGATGATTAGTAATTATTTATGTTCCCCCTCCCCCTAATTAGCTAATGGTTATTCTTAACTCATTCATGGAATAAAATAGGACAGAAAGATAGAGACTTGGCCTTCACAACTATGGGAACTTGCTTCTTACACCATAAAAGCCATTAACCACAACAGAAATATTCTTTCAACAGAAAATTATTCATATCTTTTTTTCATGTGAAACAGAGATTTAGTGTATTCCTCACAATACAAGACCAAAAGATTTGTCTAAAAGATCTTCGTCATCTTTGGAATTTTAACCAGTGAGGTAAAAGTGTGATCCATTGTTGAACCAAAAGAGAGAATATTAAAGGAATTGATGCAGAGAAGAAACGAGTGATCTTGATAAAATATACAGAGGTCAAACTATAATGATATAATAAATATAAAAATTACATAATTTTTTTTTGGACACAGAGTGAATGAAACTATGGTAAGTGCGTTATATGATTTAATATATACTTTTATTTATATAAATGCTATAAAAACTGTAAGTACAAAATAAAACATTCATTAGATTTTACCCAACACTTTAGCTAGTCCACACGTTGAAAAATTTCTGGTTCCGCCTTTGAGCCCTAGCCATAGACTTTGCTTTTTAAACAAAATATTTCACATATCTGCTTTTGTTTTAGAATCTCCATTGGCCAACGAAGAAGAAAAGAGAAAAAGAGTAACTTTGCAAACCAATGAAAGGGTCTCTTTGTTTCATCTTGCTCTCTGGCTGGCTCTTGTTAAATTTAATTAATTTATGATCATCTTTTCTTCTGAAAACCCTAATTAATATATAGATAAATTTGTCAACTTCAACTTTATGATCTTTCCCAAGAAAAATGGTGGAATCAAATTCATGGTTTGCACAAACATGTTAACAAAGCGCACTCCTTGACAACTTTTGACCATGTCATGTTAGTGACAACTTTTTCTTCCATTAATTTAAACATGCATGTTTGTTTCACTTGGCAGTTGAATCATGCGACATGTGACATGTCCCTAGGATAATAAAATGGCTGCCTCCTACGCGTTGTGCTTAAGTTTTGCAGGCATAAACTATAAAAACACTTTACGTAGATATGATCATTGAAAGCATCAAGATTGGCTTTCCAAATGTTTGATTGTGGTCCTTCGATCTTAATTGGCATTAATAAGGAATTTTGTTAGTGCTAGGAATTTTCTTTTTATCAAGAGTTGAATGATATTAACCACCAACTAAAGAGGAAATTAAGTTTCAAAAGGTCCATTCTCCATCAACACACCACCTTAAGAAATTGTCAGAGCAGGAATCAATTCGTCTCTTTTTTTGTTGGTCTGATCATTCTTATTTGTTTTAATTATAAACTATAATATGGGTTAAGGTCAGTTGGCCATGACAGCGAGCCTACCCCTTATGCCAAAGTTCAATTAGAGTCACTGTAAAAAGAGAAAGAAAAGGTAATTGTTCTTCCTTCAGTTTTACCGAAGCTTGAAATTTTCCAAGCATCGAAAGTACAATTTACATGCTTTTCACTTCCAACTTCCAAGTAATTCTTCTTATTGATACATAACAATATATTACACTTATTACCCCAACTAAGGGGGGTGAACAAATTTAATAAAAAAAGGGGGAGGAAATACATAACAATGCATCCGTTACAAGGTGAAATGCAAGGAATGAAGGCCAAACTCAAGCTGGGATCATGACACGTGTAGATTTTGGATTTCAATTCGTAGCGTTTGAAGTTGTTTATCAACATTGGATATTTCATCTTGAAGCTCTAGGAGTTTCTCTAGTCTCTGCTGTGCTGTATCTTGGTAAGGCTGGCTAATATTTTTCACGAAGCTTTCCATATTCTCAATAGCTTCTGAAAGATCTTTCTGCATGGCCTCTTCAACTTCACGTGCCAACACATCTGCCGTCCTCTTCACCTTATCTATCATCTCTTGCCGACGAGTGGGAAATTTTGATACCGCTAGTAACCTAAATCAGAGATGAAACAAATAAAAACATATGATTTGAGTGTTTATTAAGTCATAGAGCAGAGGATTTCTGCCATGTTTACGCAAAACTTTGGCATGCCTCAAGAATAAAAGAGAATTACCAAGTAAAGAAACGAAGACAAACAGAAATAGTTCAATTCAAGAAGACACATTACCCGCCAGCTGAGCAAAGACCAAGAGCAAGAA